CGCGCCTCACCTGGCGCCACCTCACCAACTTCGCGCCATGGCGTGGAGAGAAAAGCCGAGCCCGGCCTCCCGCCTCTTCATTCTCACCCTCCCGCTTTCTCCCTCTCCATCCGCCTTAGTGGGCGGACGGCGGAGCTCCACTGCTGCCATGACCAAATACCTTGAGAGAGCTTGCGCCGCCGCAGCTCCTCCTCCACCACGGTGCCTGTGCCTCCTTCATGCTCCTTCCTCTCCTGCTGCGCCTCCCGGCCCATTGCGTCCAGCCGCTTCATGATCGCCGCTTGCCGCCATATGCAACCGCGCACCAGGGCGCCGTCTTGACAGTGACGAGGCGGCCATGCAGCCCTAGCTGCGGCCGTCTGTGTGGTGTGCCTCGCCACCTCGACGCGCAGCCGTGATTCTCCTCACGCCGCCACCGGCCGTTTCATCACCATGGCGCCACCACCGAGCCGCGATTCGCCATGAGCTCTCGTGCTCGTGGTCGAGCCACCATGGGCAAGCTTCACGAGCGTGAGCGACCCTACTCGTGTCTTGCTGGGTCCCCTGTGCTCCCCACTACTCGTCGCCATCAATTGCCGCCTCTCGGCCGGATTCCATGAGCCCCGACGACCTCCTGTTCAAAATCCCGTCAGGGACCTCCTACAAAAATTCGACGAAAGTCGGGGTTCTAGCTCTGAAGTCGGTGACTCAGATGAATAGTGCCGATAAGGGCCTATTTGTAGTAATTTGCTGAATCTTTGAAAATTCATAGTAATTCATAGGAAATTCGTAAAATAGCAAATGAGGACTTTTTGGAATCCTTGTGAAATTGTCTATGCAGTAGATCTATAAGATGTCATGTTTTAGTTAAAGTTTTAGCTATAAAAATAGATTTATGCCTCTAGATTTTTAATTCTAGTTGTATTTGTCTTTTTCATAACTGTAGATCTAGGGCTCCAAATGAAGTGAAATTTTTGTGGCATGCTACTCATGTGATGTTTGATGTGTGGTAAAAATTTCAGGAGTATTCGATGAAGTATGGGTGAGTTATTGGTTTATCTTGCTCTCACATGATTTCTTGCTTTAGCAACTTGTCTTTTTCATAGAGGGTGCTATACATATTAAAATGGAGTAAAATTTGGACAGTAGACTATTGAGAGGATATGTGAGCCACTGTAATTTTTGTAGAATTTATTGTATACTTTTGGTATATGTTCCTTAAGTCACCTTGTTATCTAAAATAAATTAAGAAATGCATTAAAAAGAATTTATTTGGTCATGGACACTAGGTTTCTGGTGTTCTTTAGTCATGTGTGACATGTTGGTAAAGTTGGTTTTGCCCAATTATGTGTTTGCAACATAAGTTAATAATTATTTTCTTGCCGATGTGGTTTATGGACAGATCTGAGAACTTACCAAAGTTCTTCATGATAATGTGCTTTGTTGTGAAACTTGTTTATACAAAAGTTGTAGATAATTCATGTATCTAGCTACTGTTAAAATTTGGGGTCATTTGGCCAAGTAGTTTAAGAGTTATAACTGTTTAAAGTTAGAGTACAGGATTTGTTGCTCTCTGTTTTGTATGAACCAGTTTCTGTAAAGGTATAATTTCGACCTACTTAACTTGGGAATCATGCTGTGATGGTTATATATGAAATGTAGATAATTTCATAAGCTTTCCAAAATGTCTTCTTGCAAGTCATTTGGATTTGTGTAACTACAGTTATGCTTCTCTGAAGTTGCAATCAGTTTTATGCCCATGTCTGGATAGGTCTGAAACATCTACATGTTTGACCTGTTTAACTTTGTAATTAGCTTTTTATGTAAACATCAATCTTGTAGACAATTTCTATGGATTTTCATAAAGTCTTAGATCATCCTTGTGGGATGTTTGTAGCTTAAGTTATGTTTGAAACAAGTGACTGTTTGCTGCTGTCCAAATCTGCTTGTATCTAGAATTGTTTGCTTCTACTTGCTCTTGTTTGTATGATTGCAAATGGTTATCTTGGACACCTAGAGTTAAGGTAGCATGCCTAAAATGTTTTGCTAAATTGTGAAGTACTTGATCATGTATAGCTAGCTGGTTGTATGACATGCTTATGTGTGTATAGTGTAACATATGCTTGTTTAGTATGCTTGTTGCATTCCTTCATGGGTATTCTTTATGTTCATGCATCTCGCATCTATGCATCTCATCCTAGGTACGCTTAGGTACAGCACGACGGACGTGGAGCGCATGATGTGGAGATGGACGATGGTGTAACGGTGGGCTGTCCGGAAGATGGAAGAACCCCCGAATGCAAATGCTAGGACCGGAGATGTCACCATGACGGTGCAAGCTAACTAAACCGACTTTGTGTCGGATCTCGAGGCAAGCCCCGGAGCATATTAAGCCTCCTAATTTCCGAAATGCGATTCTGATATTATTGTTACATATATATATTGTTGCATTAAGTTTAGGTGTTGGATGCAAACCATTCTTTGCATTGGTTACCCAATCCTTGTCCAGATATTGTTACCCCTGAATCCTATGTAGCTCAGGCTCGAGTAGTGCTTAGCCCCGCTTAAACGCTGTAGAAGTCGGGTGATTTCTGTCACCGCGAGATATAGGAAGATACATGTGGCACGGTTGGCTATAATTGCTATCGTGGAAAAAGAACCGGTCTTAATTTGAAATGAAGACCCAGGCGGAGGTTTTTGCCGGTTTGCAAAGTGATCTCCGTCGTGTCGATTAAGGACTGGATCTTGGAGCCTTTCCTGTTCATGTTGAACGCATGTCTCTCTCTTAGTTGGCCGGGCTGAAGACCGGCCATGGCCGAGTAGCTCACCTCGGACCGGAGTCGATAAGTATAAAGTGCGCCTCGGAAGGGAGCCGAGGCGTGAGTCCAAGGCAGTGATTTAAAAGTCCCGATCGTCTGGCGGAAGGGTAATCCACGAGAGTGTTTGTGTTGATCGAACCCGTGAATTTGGTTCTGAGATGTTCCAAAGGTGACCACGGCTACCCTTGCAAAGTATGCCAGGTGAGAGTTAGGAATACCCCTCATTTGAGTTGTAATTCGATTGAATCGCCGTCTCCCGGTTAGTGAGAACTTGACGGGCTTATCTCCAATGTAGACCCACTAAATAACATAATGGTTAGGAAATGATGATATGATGATGACAACCTTATTATACCGCTATGGTTAATATTGATTGCTTCTAATAAGTGAGTGCTCTAGTACAGGTGCTAATCTAGTGGACAGGTAAATGATGATAAGCTTGATGCTAAGTTTAAATTGGTTACTATGCTCATAAGCTCTTTTATGCAAATGTGTCAAGCTAGCCCACCTCATAAGCCTTGCATGATCCTTGGTGTCGTTTATTTTTGGTTTAAGCCAGGTAAGTCTGGTGAGTACCCTCTCGTACTCGTGGTTTATCCCACCATGTTGCGGTGAAGTTCTCGGCTTTGTGAAGATGGTGGCTAACCACCGATGGGCTCGGTGATTCTATAGTTACTTCTCATCTATATGCTTTTGTCGGATGATGTCACTTATGCTAGCCATATATTTGGAACTTATATTAATGTAATCATTTGAAAGCTATGTTGTTTTCACTAAACGGTTTTGAAACCCAAACTGGTACTTTTAATTGTGAACCCAGTTGTAATATTATTTCCGCTGCAACCCTGTGTATGGGATGTGTATTTGCTTAATCACGCGATCTTGGTTGTGATGTTGATTTACCGAGGTCTTTTGGGACACTCGGCGGACTACCGGGTTTATATGAGTGAAAGTATGTGTGTGTCAACGTGTTAACGGGGACAGCCGTACTTGATCTTGTATAAATTGGGCGGTTCTGTTACAACTAATATAGTGCTCGTGCTAACGCCACGGCTTCATTTCAGGAATGCACATGGAGATAACCAAACTACTGTGGTACTTCGTCACATAAATAGAGTATATCAAGACAATTAAGAGAGATTCCAATTCATTACATCATTTTCAGTATATTATAGAAATTTGTTCTATACATACGCTATTCAGATAATGTGTATTATACAACTAAATTTAACAAAAAAACAACAGAAACATTTAGCCAGCTATAAAACATAAATTCTCAATTCTAGCTACCGCTATCGATCTAGCAATGTTGTCTTCTTGCTTCAGGTGATGTCCAGACATAAAAAAACATTCAACTGACCTTTTGAACCTGCAATGGCTATATACTCTATCAGTACTACAGATTAGTGAAAACTGAATGAAGTTGAATTAAGAACGACGAGCTTAGAAGCTTAGACAAAAGGTAGGCGTCTACATTTAAAGGGACCTTATTCTTTGAACACACCAATAATTATATCAACATAGGTTGCATAAGTCTCAGTCTACTGCGTAAGAACAGAAGTTAAGGCAGTGTGATTACTAATGTAGGTATGGAGTCTGTTCCAAGCGTGAAAAAACCAAGCTGAGTCGCGCGTGTGGTGCATCATTTTATTACTTACGTTAAATAATCTATATAATTTAATTAGATTATGTTTAATAATCTTTGCTACCGTAGACTATCAACGAACCTGCAAGTCTCCCTGTGCTATCCATGACCGTCATCGCCAAGGAACAAACCTCCTTGCCCTGCCGGCAGCAAATACATTAACAGGCATTGCATCTATCACACCAGCAAGGGAGAATCGAGAGTGCAACATCGTAGCTCGCATGCATCTATCACACCTGCTACCCGAACATAGCCTCAATGTTGCGGTTGCCTGGCAAAATTTAACTTCGGTAAAATACTAAATCCAAAACCTACAGCACAAAATTCAGCCCTTAACTTATCCAAGCACAGAACATAGATCAAGTTTGACAACTCCGAAAGCCATTGAAATGGAAACCATACCACATCATACATGAGATTTCATTAACCCGAAATCACGACTGAACATGCTAAAGGCAGCAACTACATTCAGATAGGATTTCAGAAGCACATTTCATTTCCACTAAGATAGGACAGACCACCATTACAGAAGCATCAGTGCAAGATAAACAGACAGATTAGAGATCCTTAGCTGCTACAGCACAAAATTCACGCCTGAACTTATCGACATAGGCCAAATTTGACAAATCAAAAGCCATCGAAATGGTAACCAAACTGACGAAACTGAATAAGACCCTGAAACTGACGGCGAGCATCAGGCGTTCACCGGCACTGCTGCCCAAGGGGCGCGCCCTCCCCGGCAGCGCGGCCAGCCTAAGGGGCGCGGCCTCGGCGGCGGTGCTGCAGGGCAAGGCATGGGTCCCCGGCATCTCTCCCCCGCCCCCTCTCGTCTTCCCCAAATCGATGAACAGAGGAGCACCGGGCGGTGGCCGATTTCCGGTAAGGTAGGCCTCGCCGGTGGCGAGAGCGGACCGGCGAGACGTGCGGCGCCCACTTGACCGTGGGGCTGTCCACGGCTCGCCCAGGGGCAGCGCGACGCTGGCGGCTGCGGCACAACGGCACAGCTCATCCATGGCGCAGCATGGCCGCTAGGCGCCTGACTATCCACGACACGCACAGCTGCTCCACCAAGTAACCCATCCCCTCGCCCCGCCTCGCCGCACATCCCGCCTAGCTGCCCTCCCTCGTCCAAGCTTGCCTGGTCAAGCTCCCCACGCCGCCGGAGCGCCCGTGAGTCGCGCGTGTGGGAGAGGAGAAGGCGTCGGGGCAACCGAAATCAACGCGAGCCTCACCTGCAGCGCATGGTCCGCGGGAGGACGACGACAGACACGTCGTTGGATTCGAACGAGTAACGAGAGGGAATGGCTAAAAAATAATCTGGTGTATTTATTTTGATGATATTATATTTTTTAGGTATATTTATAACTATGAAGTAGATATTAGTTATGTGGCTGTAGATTTATTTTAACTGGTGTATTATAGGTAGAGTGATACCTATATTAAAAAGGTAAAAACTCTTCTTCCGTGATTTTCTTGGACCGTTTAATCTGAGTCCGTTCCGATTTGTCGTTTTTTCCTAGCTGCCGATTTTGTGCGTTCCATGTTCCGGTATTTTCTCCCGCTGTCAATTTGTGCCTCTTTTCCCCGCCGGCAAGTGCATTGATACTGTCTCGCAGGTAGTCTCACGTGCCACGTAATCATGAGATGAATTAAGAGGTAATAAATATAATAGATGGCATTTTAAAACTCTATTTAGATGCACCAGCTAAATTTTAGCTAGTTATTTTTAGTCGTGGTGCAGTCAAACAGCCCACAGTTAAACCAAGCTAAATTTTAGCTGTGGGCTAAAATGTACACAATCCCTTTAGCTGTTTCAACCTAGCTAAAACCAGTTAAAATGCCTCAATGACCAAACTACCTCCAGCTAAAGTTTAGCCAGAGGATCCAAACACCTCTAGCTAAAGTTTAGCTAGCTAACCAATAGAATTAATGAACGGTAGCATGGTCAAAGTTTTCAATTAGTCAGAGAATCCAAACACCCCTAACTAAAATTTAGCTAGCTTTAGTTTTTAGTTGGGGTGTATCCAAACAGGCCCTAAGTTATCTCGTAGTAATTCTGGAGTCCTTAATTTATGGATACAGCTATGGAATGTTTATGAGTAGCATGACAATAATCACTTATACAATGATATGTAAGTTGTCTCATATAAGCCCGGGCAAAATACTCGATACCCATTACCCATACTCGAATTACCCGAATCCGAACCCGAACCCGAGGTACCGATCCCAAATTCGGATAGCGATTTTGATTACCCGAAATTAGTTTGGGTAATTCGAGTAATATCCCCCGGTACCTAAACTACCTGAACTACCCAAACATTTGTCTTTGTCTTTGTCTTTGTATTTATCATGTGCTGTTAGATGAACACTTGAACTTATCACTTTATTAGAATATAATTCTCTCTATTTGAATAAGTGACTGTAATACATTATTCTCTACAAAATGCTACTGAAATTCTATATAAATTGCTGCTGAAATTATATATAAATTGCTACTAAAAATCTGTGTAGTTTGTTGGTTTTTTTTTGTAAATTCGGGTATATCGGGAATATCCGAACCCAAACCCGAACCCGAATTATTGGTTACCCGAAATTATGGGTAGTGTTTTTTCAGGACAAATATCGGGTAGCAGTTTCCATTATCCGAATTACCCGACCCGAAAAAATCAAGTCCTAAATTTTAGATGCATGAGATGGTTGTTTCGCGAAAACAACGACCTCTTTCTCTGCCCCTCTCTATTTCCCCCACATCAGTAAAAATCATACGTGGCATTGCATGAGACGGAGTATGAAACCGCTAATGTGTAGCAATGTACTTGGCCTTTTGCTACCATTTTTTCCCTGCAGTCAGTTTTGACTTTTTTAGATTCTATTTTTTAGTTTTTTTGCTCGTTTTTTCTAACCCTCCAAGAAACAAAGTGTGAAAACAAGGATGAATAAATAAATATAACATACTTTCAACCCTTCCTTCCATCCATAATAAACAAAGGTTTCTAGATCAAGTTAGTGATTTATTTTTTTACCTATAATACTAACTAGCAAATAGAGAAAAAAAAGTTATCAAACATTGCAATGGGGTTAAATACATATTGAAATTGAAATCAAACTCCGTATAATCTTAAGACGCGAGTTGTTTCAACTCGTATAGGCATGGTTCATAAAGTTTAACAAAGTTTGCATTCATAAATGTTAACCTATGACAGGTCGGGTTTTTTTTTTTGCGATTTATACACGTCGTATTTAACTACAATAGCTACAGTTCTCACCAACTAAAGGGGTAGTGTTATGAGTGTGCAATTTGTTTACTTGTTTTTCTTTATTTTTGGAAGACCTACTTTATGTTTTTTTAGTAAAAAACATTGTCGTTCAGCAACAGCGGTGATGTGCTGTGCTGTGAGCACATCGAAGGTCATCACGTGATGGCGTATAATCCCCTGCTCCTGTGTCCGGTAGGGGCGTTAGGTGGCCGGGCCCCTGGCAGCAGCAGGCGGCGGCCCTGCCAACAGGCTCGTACCGGACCGGCGCCACGGAAAAAAAAAAAGTAGCGAGCGGAACTTAGAAAGCCGGATAACGTACAAACCGAAAACAATACGGAAGGCAGAAAAAAATTGGTGGCAGAAATTTTGCCTCACATCCAGGTACGGGTCCGGCAGGGGATGCAGCGCGGGGCGGCCTCGCTCGCCGGCGCTGGTTGCAGGCTTCATCATATGGTTCAACGTTGACATCCATGATGTGCGTTGACGATGGAAATTGGAGGAGTGTTGTCTCTTGCTTTTTTTATTCAGGTTGTTTTTTTGCTCTCTCTAGGTCAGTATTTGTTTTCATTTTATAGTTGCAGGATCGTTGTACGCAGTCCTATTTGGACAAGGACCATATTTCAAGACGGAATATATAATTGGTACAGTAGTTTGGCAACTGGCCGGTCTACGACAGAGAGTATTACTATTTAAATCTAATAAATAATTTGTCAATTAGTTTGAGTCTTATACTAATTTGATACCGACTTTGAGAGAGGCAGGCTGAAGGACGGAAAAAAGAATCTAGGAAAAAAATAATACGAATAGAACCTGGACTGGAATAAAAAAATATATACAAGTATACTGGAGTGATAAAAGAGATAGAAAAAAGTTATGGCGGAAATTTTGTCTTTTTATTATTAGGTAAGATATAGATTAAACAATAAACTAATCTAAGATGTTATTAAGGTGTTTATTATCTAGTTGGGTCTAAATAAATTTGTCTCTAGGCATTGCAATCCCCACGATAGCCACCATGTAGAAAGCGCGAGAGCTCTGCCATTTCATCATCGATAGAAAGATCAGTTCTTGACATAATAGCTGACTTTATGAGAGTGAACAAACTCCCTATTTTGATCTTTTCTCTACACCTCTTCTCTATTATATACACCTAAAAAAAGTCCAACTCAATCATCCACAGACATAATGAAAACCCTCGCACGATTGCTCCTCCACCTACGACCGAACAGTCAAAACGACAAGTGGGACACAGTGTAGACTCTGTTGCTCATCCCTTGCTTCCTGTGCCTGTTGCCTCCTTGAAGCCGTTGCGACTCCTCCCTCTGTCCGCTCCATTAGCATATTTCGCTTCTCCTCTTTTTGCGACTCCTCCCTCTGTCCGCTCCATTAGCATATTTCGCTTCTCCTCTTTTTGCTCTCGTGAGGTCCCGTAGCCACACCCCCTACCACTCCACCCGCTCTACTTCTACCGCCTCTCCTCCACAGTCCCGTCCTTCGAGTGCATGGCGGTTTTGCGACCAAGCGCTTCCTTTAGACCTTTGCAACCCCAATTTGATCTCCACCAAGGCACGACAGCTCCGCACGCGGCTCACCGATGAGCTGGGCCGCATCCATACTCCCCTCTCCCACATCATGTCACAGGACGAGCAGCGCCAGAGCCGAAGCTAGAGCCCTGTGCCTACTCTTGCACCCATGTCAGTGGAGGCAATACGGAAACGGTGCACGGATACCATGACTTGGCTATGGAAATGGAAAAAAGTGTGGTGGATATTCCTCGTTGATGTGGAGGACTGCGGTTGTACTGACGTACCAACTTTGAAGTGTGCATACCGCACGCCCTGAGACGACGACTTTGGATATCTTCACCAAGGATAGTTGTCGCCTAATTGAATTGTTGTTTAGACCACATCTCGTTTGTTAGTTTCGCCTTTTGACAACACACTTTTTATAGCTAGAGGCTAAAATTGTAGTAAAGTTTGGTTATGCGTGCAAAGATCAAAATAATTTTTTTCTTCTAAACACATCTAAGGGTCCGTTTGGAATGCAGCAAAATCAGTTTGATTTTACAGGAAAAACGTAGGAACATGAAAAAATTCCCGCATTTCAAACCGGCCCTAACTTGGTAAATGTAGCACGTAGGTTCGAAGTGCTGAAATATCACTTAATTTTCATCTTTACAAAGCTCATTATAGTCACAAATGTTCACGCACACACAGAACTTGTGAACCCATACAAAAAAACTTGTAATATATATAGAGCTTTATTAAACTTGGGTTTCATTGCTGGTGGGTTGGGGACTTGGGAGTACAAGCACGTTCGCTCATCTTCTATCTAGACAATAACTACAGTATTATCTATTTCAACTTTTAGCCAATATATGATACGGAGTATGTCTAACAAGTTTATAGAAATCCATGCACAGTTAAAAGTTTATGAAGCCATGAAATTTTTTCAACTTGCCATTGAACTGAAATTTTTCAATGATAACATGAGCTGTTTCTGGCCCAGAACTAAATTGGGCCTCAATTGGATCAATGAAAATATATGGGCTTCAAATTACTAGGCTCCTTGAAGGGTTCAATGTGCTGGCTGGGCCTGCAGCCTGCTACACGAGGCCTCGTCGTTGTCAGAGCCGACGACGCGTCAGACTCGGCCGCCGCGGGAGCGCCGTCGGCCGGACTGCGGATTCATCCACAATTAGCGAAATCTCCCGGTAGTCTGGCATCGACCCCCCTGAGCCCTCTCCTGAGCACACGGCCACACGCCCCATCTCTCGCGATGGCGGCCTCTGCCGCCGCGGGGCGCACGTGGGACCCAACCGTCTCGTTGCGGCTGGGCCACCCTACGCTGGTGCTCCTCGAGCGGTGCCGCGGGACGCGGCCGTTCCGGGCCATCCTCGCCCACCTGCTCCGCCTCGGCCTCGCCTTGGAGACGTTCCCTATGAGCCGGCTCCTCCACTTCGCCACCGCCGTGTCCCTCCCGCGCGCCTCGCGCGCGAGGCTGAGCTCCTCTTCCACCATTTCACGCCCCGCCCCAATCTCTACATCTATAACCTCATGCTCTCCGCGGCGGCGGCGGCGCGCAACTCCTCCTCGCCGCCCCAGGCGGCGGCTCTCACCGTTCCATGCTCGCTTCGTCCGTCCTCCCCGACGAACAGACCTTCCTCGCGCTGCTGAGGTCGGTGGAACGCCTGTCCGCGGGGAGGCAGGTGCACGCCCATGTCGTCGTGAGTGGTTTGCACTCGCGCGTGTACCTGCGGAACTCGCTGATCAAGATGTACATCGACGCCGGGGATGTCGAGACGGCCGAGCTGATGTTCCGTTCTGCGCTGGTGTTGGATACCGTGTCTTGCAATATCATGCTATCCGGGTATGTGAATGAAGGGTGCAGCCTGAAGGCGCTGTGGTTTTTCCGTGATATGGCATCCAGGGGGATTGTTGTTGATCAGTATACGGCTGTTGCTCTGCTCACTTGCTGTGGGCGCCTGAAGACCGTGCTTCTTGGGAGGTCTGTTCATGGCACCATCGTGCGGAGAATGGATGCAGGAGATCATGGGTTGATTCTGGTAAATGCTCTTCTGGATATGTATGCAAAATGTGGGAGAATGAATGCAGCTAAGAGAGTCTTTGGTGAAGCTAGTGAGAAGGATGGCATTTCATGGAACACCATGGTTTCAGGTTTTGCAAATGCTGGCATGTTGGACCTCGCTAGCAGATTTTTTTCTGAGGCACCTTCCAGGGATCTAATATCCTGGAATGCGCTTCTCGCTGGATATGCTAGATACAAAGGTTTCAATGAATTGATGAAACTATTCCATGATATGCTTGCTAGTTGTGTAAATCCGGATAAGGTGACTGCTGTTACCTTGATCTCTGCGGCCGCAGGTAAGGGATCATTGAATCATGCAAAGAGTATCCACGGTTGGGTGGTGAAAGAATTTGGTCATCAGGATGCTTTTTTGGCATCGGCTCTTGTAGACATGTATTGCAAATGTGGAAATGTTAAAGTAGCTTATTATGTGTTCGAGAAAGCCTTGGACAAAGATGTTACCTTGTGGACAGCTATGATCTCTGGCCTTGCATTCAATGGCCATGGAACTGAAGCATTGGAACTATTTTGGAAGATGCAAACTGAGGCCGTAGCACCTAATGGTGTCACATTGCTTGTGGTTCTCAGTGCATGCAGTCATGCTGGCCTGCTGGATGAAGGGTGTAGGATTTTTTATGCTATGAAGCAAAGATACAGTATTGAACCAGGGATGGAACATTTTGGGTGTATGGTTGATCTCCTTGCACGGTCAGGTAGGCTGATTGATGCATTAGCTTTGGCTAGGAGGATGCCAATGAGGCCAAGTCAGTCTATATGGGGTTCCATTTTAAATGCGAGTTTGGCTGGTCAAAATACTGAAGTTGCAGAAATTGCTTCAAAAGAACTCCTTTGTCTTGACCCAGCAGAAGAAGGTGGATACGTCTTGCTTTCCAACTTGTATGCGGCTGGAGGTCACTGGAACCACAGTGATGCAGTGAGGCAGAACATGGAAAGAAAAGGAGTGAGAAAATCAGCAGGTGCTAGTAATTTTGGATGTTGATGTTGTTGCTTCAGAAGTTCAGATGCCAGGTAAGACTACCACTTATTGATTTTTTGAAATGCAAGCTTCTTTCTTCTAATGAATGGATAAAATCTTGTACACTTCATGAAAAGTTACTAGAAAAGTCGGTACGGCCTCGCCATGCCCTCCTTCTTGAATGGGCAGGACTGTAGTCTCTCTCGTTCTTTCCTGAATTGTGTCGCTGCTGGAATCAGTTGCGCCCTCGACATCTGTTGTGTGGGTGTTCACCCTCTTGTGAAGTTTGTTCAGTCCGGTGTTTCCCGATGGAGTTTTCCTGTCCAGGTAATCTTTTAAGTCGCTAATCTGTTCTTGAGTAGGCTACATGTATATATATGCATGCGCTTGTATGTAATGTGTATCCATATACATGTACTTATCCAGGAGCCCACGATAAATTGTTTTGCACGCGTCAGTACATGTGATTGATCAATGTGTATTATTTACCACGCATGTGATACTACAGTTAAATTCACTGCTGATTACCATGCTTGTTCAAACGTAAGCTACTAAGCTTTCTAATAAAGCTGGGCTGAGCTTTTGATCTAAAAAATTACCATTCTTGTGATACCATTCAAGGGTCATGTAATCAGCTTAGACAAGTCTATCTAATGGATGAAATTTGCATTCACTTCACATGGAGGGACACTAAATTTTCTGCAACCGGAGGGGGGAAATCATGCTTATTTAGTTTTATATGTAAACCAGGATATGTCAGTTTAGAGTATAGCAAACTTGTAGTATATATATGTTAACATAGGACTATTTGTGGACCATGCTAAGGTAGAACTCTTTTTTAGAAAACATTAAAGATGTCTGTCCTTGAGCTGTTATATTTAGGGATATAGAGATAATAGATTTGTGCTAGAACTTTGATATTAAGCTGTCTCTTGATCTATATTAACAAAGGTTACAGTTACTCATAGAGAAGTCTGTAGATAAGCTCTTGGCTAATCTATCATAGTGATACTATATTTTTGCAGCAAAAGATATGTATCTGCATTATCTGCTACCTATTTACACCTAAAGATCAGTAGCTGTGTTGTCAGCAAAAGTTATGCATCTGCATTATCTTCTACCTATTTACACCAAAAGATCAGTAGCCACAAGCTTGATAAATGCACGATCCAAGGTTTAGATATTGCAGGCTTAATCGAGTACTGATTTGATGGTAATCCAGACTAGTTAAATCTCTGGTAAAATTCCAAATTAATGAAGATTTGGGCTTGAGAAAGAAATCAAACACTTTCTAGCCAGGTGGAGCAATAATCCGATGGCAACCGACCATAGTCCAAATCAAACCAGATTCCCTAGTCAATTCCTAAATAAGGCGATATAGATGTATACACATACTAGGGACTTGATTGAGGTGCCAACCTATCGTCATTGCCAACGGGAATGTTGATTGGTCAAAGCTTCGTTTGTGTGGTCAGGTTTTTCATGTTGTCTAGAAGAAAGGGGCTCAGTCCTACTACAGCTCTAGGCGGCACTGCGAGAAATAAAATCTTGCGGATGCTGCTACAAGCCTATTCGGGAAGCGCCAACAAACAATGATTAAGTTTGATGGGCGGTCAACAACTTGGCTTTGCAGGCCTCAAATACCTGCAGCATTTTGTAGTCCTACCTCACAAAGATGTATTTCTTATATATTTGATAGCTTGCACCTTACAATTCAAAATCGATGTAGTTTCATACTTTCATATGGTTAGCTTATGACTACAAATACATCATTTCAGGCCAAGAAAGCTCCATGTTTCTCCTGACTCAAGCTTTTGTGATAGACAGTGCTAGTAATTGTACATTCAAGAGCTAGCTGGGACACCCTGCAAACCAGCAAGAGGTACTATATTCCATCACTTGGATCCCCGGTACTTCCTATATGGACCCCTTTTTTCTTTCTAAAAGTTCATGTTTGTTTTCGAGAAATGCCCTACCCTCTTCATCTTGTATACATGAACACAAATTTAAAAGTTGGTAGGTTATCAAATTGTTCAAACCAGATTTGACATATAGTTTAACTAGCAGCTTGTATGACTTATTTGCCCTCTAATTGGAAAACAAAGAAGATGGGTCTGATCAACATAGTGCTTTATTTATGTCCGTCCAGCAGACGAATTGGACGGATTAGCGTGAAATGGTCCATGTATACACAATATACAATCATTGCAAAACTTCTTGTATTTTTGCACATTGAAAGGTGGATACGTAGGTACAGTACAAGGACTCGTTACCAAACTGTCTGATGTACATGATATAGACTATATAGAAATAATAATAACCCTAGATCATACGATTGCCGTGGATTACCGTCTGTAACAACACAGCCGGATCCAATGGCCGTGAATTACTGACGACGTGTCCCAATCAATAGCTCACGGTTTGGTTGAGATTGCATGTTTTAGAGATGTGTTGTCTTGATTGGTCAAACTAGCAGTGTTCTTTTTTGGCCCAGTCGATGCGGTTTTTGCCTTGCAGGAAATTTATGCTTACACCAGCAGTGTTTTCCCCCCTTTTTGATACCCAGGAGTTGAGGCAGAAAACTTAGTGCAGTATGCTCTACCTGGATTGAGAGGAAATCTGTGCTGCTTGTGTTAGCTGATAGCTATTCTGTTATATGTAAGTTTGAAATGTACCAGGACACTGTTTCCAATTTGGTGATCTATGATAGTTTCAATGAAGTATGCCAACATGTTCAGTGAACTCAATCATGTCCGTGGTATTATGCTAATAATAACCCTGCTTTCAACTTTCCTTCTGAAATTTGGGAATACATTTCTACAATGTTTAACAATGGTATGAGTCTGCTCAAATTATGTTATCTGCATGTTCTCTTGTGAAATTTCTGGGTCCTTTATGTTTATAAGAAATAAAGTCTTTAATTAACAATGAAATTTTTTATTGTGCTTGTAACAGGAGCAATTCTCCAGCCTTGTACATTCATAGGACCTTATAGCCCTTCCACTGGTAAGTGGTAACAAGATTTGCAACTAAAGTGGTGTGTATTTGTGTTATTTCTTTTTGTCTGTTGCAGTTCCACGGCGTGAACTGAATTGCCTGTTGACCTGATGCGGTGATTATGACTGACCAAGGCACCAACCCATTCCTGCAAGGCGGCAATGCAGTGATCTGGCAATTGCAGTTTACAATCACATTTGATAATCAAACTGATTGAAGGTAATGATTTTCTTTGTCCCATTATTTTTCAGGAAAAAACATCATGCGACTAATTCTGTCTACTGAAGATTGCACCGACCCATGACCACCTATAATTTTTTCTGGCTATGTATTTGGCTGAACTGAAGGATTATGGTCGCCAATCTTCCAGATTTTCACTCATTATCTACTGAGCAGTTCAGTGGCAATGTCTTATTCCTACCACAATCTGGAAATTAGAAATATTCAAGACAGATTGGAACACCATGGGAAGTTATGGACTGTTGACTAGTATCCTGAACATGCACACACACAAAGAAGTGTTTAGTTGAAACTTCTTCAGACATTGCATTGTCCTTGCCAAAGTCAAAGTTCTTGGGTTACCAATTCATTTTCCAAAAACTTCCATAGATTGATTCAATATATAAGCTTCGCCTGGTTCCACATCAGGATATCAGCCCCATTGGAGTAATGTAGTATCTTTTTGTGCACTTGTGTGATTCCTCAATAAAAAAATCATGATATTTGTGTTTCAATGACTTTAAGCCATAGCATATTGTTGCGGCGAATGTCTGACATACTGCAATCCTTCTCAACAAATTGTAGGTGAACATGCTACGTATCAGCTATGCTTATCAGCCATGATACAGTGTTTTTCTCTCACAACAAAATAACATCAGCCGGCTTATAAGCCACAGAAACGATCAAGCGAACAGGGTGATTGGTGGTTCCTTCAGACATGGTGCCTTTCAGACGTCCAGCATGGATGATCCAGTACTTTGTGGGAGGGGAATGCGTCAAGGCATGCAGTTGATGACACAATAGAGTCCAGATGCCCTTAAACATGCACTGGAGAAGGGGCCGTTCCTATCTTTTGGGAGGCACGTGAAATATGTCAGAACCTGGACCGGAGAAGTGGAGAGTTACAAGATAGTTTTCCAGTTGTTAGCAGATTCAAAGAGGCGCCACTATAGGCTCTACTGCTTCATAAAGCTAGAGCAATTAAAAAGTTCAAATTCCCAGCTACCCTTTTTATGAACAATAATACGTTTGTTACATGAAGACATGAGACTAAAGGAGTTTGATAAGTCCTGATGCAGTTGGAGGATTTCGAGCCGTCCTTTTTTTTTTTTGACAACAAAGCCGCCAAGATATTGACCGATGGTTCAACCTTGTCGATCTGACATGCTTGTTGCCAGGTAATGTATCTGTACGTAATTGAGCCATGTGCAGGACAGTCAATAGCACTGGATGTAACATATGTAACATTCAATCAGACTAGGGAACCTCCAATGGTTATCTCTAAGCTTAGATGCCATGTGGAGTATATATATAGAGGGGGGTTAAAGACCGTTGACTCTTTGAGCTAGCGGTAGCGGAAAGAGTCCTCTGTCTTGCTGATCTTGCATAGCCACTCCTCCAAGCTGGCAAGCTGGTGGTGCTGTCGAGGAGAAGATTAAAGCCCTCTTTGGCACGGCTCATCCAAAACGGCTTCATCGGTGAAGCCAAAGCCGGTGAAGCCAGAAAAACTGGCTTTTTCCAGCTTATAGTTTATTTTAACCCTGGCTTACAAAACGGCTTCACGCTACAGTACCTCGATTTACGCAAAATAGATGAAGCCGAAACCGGCATAAGCCGTGCCAAAGAGGCCCTCACTATAAGCCATGTCAAAAAGGCCCTAACCCGGGAAGAGTAGGTCGGATCGGTGCTTCTTATGGACGAGACTGGCACCAGAGGCAGCTGATCGATTTGAGGCTGACGATAATTGGCTGGATACAAGACGGATTTACCGTGTCTCTACAAGGTCCAGCATCGAAGGGGAGCTATACAAATTTGTGTGGCGTATAGCTACGTTTTCTTCGGCTGGCTCCTCCAGACCTCCAGGATCTCCTACAATGCAGAGCTAGTTTGCTGTGGAACAATGTGATTGATGATGACACTTGTGAGCTCTACAATGGAGCCTCTGAAACCGGGGATCATCTCGTCAGCGAACGTTGCCTTCGCCCAAAGCTTCTCGTTGCACCTTTGATGGAGGAGCTTGGAAAACTTCCCCAAGCTCAATCGCCATGCCAGACCACGTTCCAGCGCCGGTCCTCTCAACTATGGTGTTGCTTTGCTGCTGGCATTTGTGGAAACACCGCCATGCCTTCAGGGGGCTGATCGCCATGCCTGAAGAAAAGATAACAATCTATCATCTATGGATAATCCAATCTATATATTTCCTCGTCGTGTAGCCATTCGGATTTCACAATTGATGTCCAGAACCAGAATAGCCTAGTAGAGAGTGGAGTTATGCATTGGGATTTGGCAACTTAAAGATTTCATCTGTAATTTCTTATTTGATATATTCACGGTACAAAGGACATATACGGAATGTCAAATTTGACCTGTTTGCATGGCGTTTCATATCAAACAAGATGTGCCACTGTTTTTTCGGGTTCAGCAATTAATACTACCTCTGTGCAAAAAAAAAAACTTAATGTTTTAGTTTTGTTCTAAGTTAGATTATCTAAAATTTAACTAAAATTATACGATATAGTTCTAATGATTATATTGCCAATGGAACATATTTTCATAGTATACTTATTTGGTGTTATAAATATTGAAAACTATTTCTATAAATTTGGTCAAACTTAAAATAGTTTGAATTAGGATAAAACTAAAACATCAATTTTTTTGGTAAAGGACATGTAGACGTCCCTAAATTGAGAGAAGTCGATTTTTAACCATCCAATTATTATTGAAGTTTGATTTTGGCCATGGAACTCAAACGATAGAAATCTCCGACCATCCAACTATCAAACTCATTCACATTGGGCCATCAACTGTTTTGATGAGTGGTTTTGCTAACGTGGATGACACTTGGCAATTGGGCCCACATGTTAGCTTTCACTATTTATATCCTCTCTCTTTCCTCTGTTCTCTATCTCGTCTCTTCCTTCTTATGTCCTCTCCTCTTGCTCCTCTTTCACGCCATTCCACCCCATGTTGTCGGCACCACATGCATTGCCACCTCCTCCGCCCTACTTCCATTGTTGAGCTATGTGGGCCAATTGAGCTCCACAAGCCTTGCCACAAGCTCCTGGCCGAATCGAGCTCCACAAGGTAGGGAGGATCCATGGCGAGACTGGCCGAACTCATGGCCAAATCTATCCGAGACCCGTGAGCTCCATCGGTGATCTCCATGGTGAAGTTGGACGTTGGCTTGGGTGGATCCACAAGCTCTACCACGAGCCGTAGTGATGAGCTGGGCCTACCATCAGCAATGGAGCTCCTCCACAACTGAAAGGATCTATCGATTGCTAGAGTTGGGTGAATAGTTTAATTTAAAAATTCTACAGAGCATAACACTTAGGCAAAAGCATTAGAAATAAAAGGAGCCCCAATAAGCACTACACTATGACCTTACAAGCCTAGGGTGAGCCAATTACACAATCCTAATGATCAAGAGAAAAGCAACTAAGGCTATCTCACTAGGAAATGTAAAGCGAGCTAGGCAAACACCCCAAGATGACAATCCTAAAAACTCTACACTAGGAATTGTAGAGCACAAAGTAAAGAGCAAATGTAGAGTGAGCAAACTACACAAAGACGATGACACGAGATATATCCATGTTGTTAGATGACTTGCCGGTCACCTTCGTCCATGTTGAGGCAAGCTCAAGGATCGTCAACTCTGTATCAAGACTTAATCCCATAATGTTTTGTGGATTTCTTGTGCATCCAAGGATCAATGAATGGACATACACCGAGAGGTCTGGATGCACCGTTCATGCAATCAAGATGTCAAGTAGCTGAGAGAATATTTTTATTGTCACATTCGGCTCCCAGATAATCAGCCCGTTCGCTTTTTGGTTTCAGCCAGAGCTTATCAGTTATGATACAATATTTTTCTCTTACAACAAACCGGCACTAGCCGGACTTATCAGCCTAGAAATCAACCAGCGAACAGTCTGAATGAGTTCTTTGTGCTAGTCAGCCTCACAGATTCCTGGCATCCCCAGATAGTCATTTCTATTATTTTTTATCATTCTAAGAAGTCCGACGTGGCTTTCTAGATACTCTGTGGTCTTAGGTGGTTTTGGTCTGTTTGACGTCCTCAACCGATTTTCCTATTTTCATATTTCTACCTGGTCTCGTGAGCTATAGCTCATGAATTTCATGCATTTTCTAGGGTCTGGAGAACAACCAGGAGCTACGTGGTGTGGATGCATTGTTCATGCAACCAGAACCAAGATGACGAGCGGTTGATATAATATTTTTTATAAGTTTTGACTCTCAAATAATAACTACTAGGGTTTTTATACCCATTGGCCTGTCGAAGATCCGGTGGGGTCACATATTTCTAACATCATAGTATTACTTTCTTGTCATTTGAGCATGACTTTTTAGTCACTATGTGTTCTCAGGTACTTCTGGGTTGTCCTGCGCTTCGTGGCTATTTTTATATTTCTACCACGTTCTGGCCCGGTTCGTTTGGAGGAATTTGGAGGAATCTGAATAAATCTGGAGAAATTTAAGAGAGAGTGAACAATATTTTCAGCCATAAACAGTGTTTTTTCGGCTGAAATTCATGCAGCCGAGCGGCCCCTTTGTGAGAGTGTTATCGCTGTAGAAACGGTGGGGGTGCTATTTGGCTTGAATGCACCGTTTCATACAACAAAGATGTCGAGTGAGTGGTACAATTTTTTTAAGATAGTTCTGACTCGTGGAGAACAAATTTTTTTGAACTTTCTGTCCGTACTCCGTACTCCGTACTCCGTCGGCCTCTCAAAGATTTGGAATTTGGATCAGACATTTCTGGGGTTCGCGGTGGGAAAAAAATTTCTGTGCACTGTATCCCTAGTGTCAGACTTCAATGATCTAACGCTAGTTAATGACTAGTCCTCTGCTAAAAATAGACTCGGCATTCAGCCAGGCTCGTTCACGCGGAATGCCTATTTGTCGCATGCCCGAATGCACCATAAATACCAACATGGTCATGCATCCACGCATTAATGCATGGCGCAACTGTGAATACAGTTTCCATTGATTTTTTTTCCTTGCGATGGTCCCGTTTCCATGGTTTCTGCCCTGGCCCACTGCCCAGCCACCCACACAATATTCCAAGGGCAGTTACCGGAGTCAGGCGGCGGCATTTCGAATTTTTCGTCGCAGGCAGGAGTAACCGCGCCCGCGCCGTCCTCACGAAGCCACGAGCAGCAGGCGACCTGAGCTTTTCGACTTATTACAAATGCCACCCCACTTCTTTCTCAAGCCGCACACTCAACCACAGTATCTGACCGAACAGTCCAAAACTCCGAACTCCTACGTCTCGCTGAAAATATCTGCGTAGTTTGAGGTGCTGGATAGAGTTCGCCGCCTATAAGTCCGTCGGCCGCACCCACCCAACCCCACGCACAAGCGCAAAAAAAAAATCTCTGTGCCTTGCGTGAGGAGCCGGAGTCGGAGTCGGAGGGAACCGAAAACTCAGGTAAGGGCTTCCGCCGCGCTCTGACCCCCGCCTCCGTCTTATCCGAACCCACTCGGCCCGATTCGCGCGATTCGCCGTTTGATTTCCCGAATCGGCGGCGAGATCCGCCCGATTCGCCCCTCGATCTGCGCTGATTCGGCCCGCGCGCCGTCGGATTCGGTTTCTTCTGCCTCAGGGTCTCGAGTTTCCTCGGAGCGGAGCGGAGGAGGCGATGGCTGGGAAGGGAGGAAAAGGGTTGCTCGCCGCGAAGACCACGGCGGCCAAGTCCGCCGAGAAGGATAAGGGGAAGAAGGCCCCCGTCTCACGCTCCTCCCGCGCTGGCCTCCAGGTGACTTGCTCCCTCTCCCCCCTTCCTTGCGCGTGCTGTGCTTTCCGCTCGCTTTGCTTTGCGCGCCCCGCGTTCTAGGGCTCGCTCGTTTGGATTTGAACTGCCGCGGGCTCGCGGGCTCGCGGGCGTAGCTGCTGCGTATGAGATTCGTGTATTCTACGCGTATGAGATTTGTGTATTCTATGGGGGTCGTGCGCGTTAGGTTTGACCATTTCAGGTTTCGTGCGTTCTGTGAATGATATCGACCGGCGTTAGATTCGCGTGCGAGTTGGATGAGCTGCGGCTTTGAAAAGGTTGCGCGCGCTAGTTGTGTCAGGTTTTTGAAAATTTAGGGCTTCTATTGTTCTGCCAAGCTTGTAGATCTAAAGCAGAGCTTGGTCTGTCTTTCTGTGTTATGTGGGCTACCGTGCACGTGGCTTTGTCTGTTCTCTTGAGATGACTATGTCTGTTCTTTTGAGCAATTGTAGGTTCTGGTAGGTTATGATTTCAGCCTATGTTAGGGTTTTAAAATTTGTGGTGATTCTGAGGCGGTGAGCTATTGACATGCGTTTGGGCAGTCTAGATTTCGTGATGATTGATTGATTATGTGGTCAGAGCTCCTGATGAGGAAATGGTACTTCAGCAATCCTTTCCCTTGCTTGGAAATGGGTATTTGGTGGGTGACAAGATGGAAAGGGAAATCTCGTGGACCTGATCCATCAATCGTGCTAAACTACCCTCTGTGCAATCTGTTGTAGTACTTTGTTTTGGTTAGGTCTTGTGTTGATGCATCATTTTCACTCGCGGTGGAACATATTTGTCGCTACATGTTGCTGCTGACCAAGCATTTCTTATCGCTTGTCTAGCCTTGATGCTTATTATTTGTAGTCACTAGATTCTCTGAGTTTATGGTCTACTGTCACAGCTTTGATATTGGTGTGGTTTTTTCATTAAGTGGTGCAAATGCACAAGCTCTGTTTTTGTTGTTATTCTGTGGCTATGCAGAGTTTAGCCTTGATATGTGATTGCTAATTTTCACTGTTGTGCTTTTCAGTTCCCTGTTGGTCGTATCCACCGTCAGCTGAAGCAGAGGACTCAAGCCAATGGCCGTGTTGGTGCCACCGCAGCCGTGTACTCTGCTGCCATCCTGGAGTACTTGACTGCTGAGGTTCTGGAGCTGGCTGGGAATGCTAGCAAGGATCTGAAGGTGAAGCGTATCACCCCTCGCCATCTGCAGCTGGCCATTCGTGGAGACGAGGAGCTCGACACCCTCATCAAGGGCACCATCGCAGGTGGAGGTGTCATCCCGCACATTCACAAGTCCCTGATCAACAAGTCCTCCAAGGAGTGAAGACTAGGGAATGTGCATCTTTAGTTTAAACTGGACTTTTGTGCGCTCTGTGAGTCCCTGTCGTCGTGTAGGTTTTAGTTGAGCTGTCAGGTTGGAGTGATCCTTCTGTGTAACGCTTGCCTGGTACTGCTGCGGTTATTTGGACATTGTGTTTGTGTTGAGTTGTTAACTTCAGGGGTGCAAACCTGGATGCTTATTTAGTTATGTGACTATCTGGTATTTCGGTTTATGTTGTGGTTTGTTTTTGTGTTTTGCAATTTCTATTTTTTTTTCTGGTTGCAATTATCCTTTGAATATGTTGTGGGTGGGGTACTGTGGGGGCAGTGGGGGGCTCAGATTTGTCATTTGTGCTGTGGTTGGTTGTTTGGATGCCTGCTCAGGACCAGAGCAGTCTGCTATTCTTCCACCTGCCTGCTCTGTGGTAATGGTTCCATTTTGTTTTCTTTTTTGGCTGCCTTGTTTGCTCTGTGAATGGATGGTATTTAGAACCGGGGTTCTTTGTTCTGAATGACAGTTATATTTGTCTGTTCTCTGCCGGCCGCAGTGCAGTCCTATATTGCTATATCCGTGGTGGATCAGTGGATGGTTGGATGCTTGCATTGCCGCTTCAGCATAAGCAAATGAAGCGGTCACCTATGTAGTTGAGCAGTTTCTCGAAGAATTCCTTGAAAAAGTCGGTATTCTTTCTTCCTGCACTACAAAACTCCACAGACCACAAGTACGTACGAATCTAGATGTCTGGAATTGGAAATAAATCACTTTATTGACGATTATTTTTCTTACTCAGGGTGGTCTGGTGTTAGAGCTGCTGGATGTGGAGCAATCAAGGAGCCATGCGACGCCATATTACGTCTTTAGAAGTCAAATTCCAACACAAACAAACAGGTTCATCCCGAGAAACTTACTCTGTACTTGCATCCCGGGACAACATCTCCAATGTCCACCGCCTCTCGCTGCTCTCTTGCTGCAATTCACCTGCTCTTTACAACGCCACAATTCCAGCAAGGCCTTGCGTGGCACAAGTGGTAGCGCCTTTTCCCTCAAGCTGCACTACGTGTTAGGCTACCTGGACAGTGGCCGCCGCTGGCTCGCTGTGCTGAGTCGGAGGGGCGGGCAAAGCGCCGGAAATGATTAGGAAAACCACGAGGACCGCCGTTTTTTCCACAAACCCCACCGTCCAGCCCAGCGCAGGTCATCTTTATTTACTCGTACATCGGTTTCCAATCACAGGATGCTTCCACCCTGCTTCCCTTCCCTACTCCCCGCCCCTCCTTCCCTCCCTATATCTCTGTGCTTGCTCCTCGCACCAGCATACATACCTCTTCACCTACCTTTTCTCTCGGCGTGGCTAGTATAGCTTTGCTGTCAGGGATTGGCAGTTGCATGGACGGGCTGACGGACGAGCAGAGGCTCGCGTTCCAGGAGGCCTTCTCGCTCTTTGACAAGAACGGCGACGGTATATCATTACCTCTCCTCTGGTCTCCTCTCACCATGGCTTAGCTTGCTTTTGATTTGATTTGGTGCTTGTTCTTAGCCTGTTTCTTTGTTTTCTCTTGCTCGGTTAGACTTGTAGTTGCTGGGTTTTGGAAGCAATGCTACTCTTCTGCATGTGGGTAGCCTTATACAGCATGTCCAATCCAGTGCTCTTCACAGTTCGTGATTGATGAGATATTAACCATGTTGGGCAGAATTTTTATTGCATCCCTGTACTTGAGGCCTGGCCTTTTTTTTTTAGAAAAAAGGAGAAAATTTGTCAATAGAGAGCAAGGGGCTCTAACCTGAATCATCAGCTGGTTAGGAGTTTTTTTTAAATGTACTGTTCTCGTGTAACTTTAAAAAAAATGCGATCCACCAGGGGAGACTCCCTTGGGGTGTCGCACTAAGCAGATGCCGCGCTTCGAACCCGGGCCGGCCAGGGGTTTCAACGACCCCTGGAGTTCAACGCTCTAACCGGTTACACGGGCTGTTCTCGTGTAACTTTGTGTGCTGTCAACTGTCAAGCAATAGTGTTCAAGAAAGCAATAGATGGACCCCTTTTATTTTGCGGCGAGATTCTTCCTTGAAAGTTCTTTTAGTTATGTAGTAGTGGTGACTGAAATGTGCTGTATTACTACTAACTCTTTTAACTTACTTTAGTCAAAGAACCCTTTTTGGTTGTGACAAAAAAAAGGGTTTACTATTGGCTCAGTTTTGCTTTCCAGAAGGGTCTTAAATCTTTCCTGTGAGTTATCTGCCTGATTCCTTTAGGGAAAGTTGAAGTAATCCTCGTCACGTCTTTGGAAACTATATTTTGTGATGTTTGTGGTTGAAGTGTTGATATTATGGGTCATTTGCTTTATGATCCGCACATAGCTAAGTAGCCAATCATACTCTAGCTTTAATGTGAACATCTCTATCCTAGTCAAAAGTTCTGACCAAGCTTTCCACTTGTCGTCTTGCATTAGACTCCTGATCCTACGTTTGGATTTGCTGAGACCTGTGTGCGTGCAATCACAAAGATTTTCTTTTGTATGAATAGTTGACAAGTGGAATGTAACTTTGCCATGTGTAGGATGCATCACCATGGAAGAGCTGGCTGCAGTGACTCGCTCCCTTGGTCTCGATCCGAGCGATCAGGAGCTCAATGACATGATGAGCGAGGTTGATACGGATGGCAATGGGATTATAGATTTCCAGGAGTTCTTAAGCCTCATTGCCCGGAAGATGAAGGTGAATTTCTCATTATCCTATTACGAATACTTCAAAATTATCTCAAACTGAAAGTTGACAACACCTGCTTGCAGGATGGCGATGGCGATGAAGAGCTCAAGGAAGCCTTTGAGGTCCTGGACAAAGACCAGAATGGCTTTATCTCCCCAGTTGAGGTAATCTCTTTGTGCCTCAGCAAGTTCAGACCATGCTGTCTTCACTCATTCTTACATGTTTGTGTTGGTGTGTGAAGCTGAGGACAGTGATGACCAATCTTGGGGAGAAGATGACCGATGAGGAGGTTGAGCAGATGATCAGGGAAGCAGACACCGATGGTGACGGGCAGGTGAACTATGATGAGTTTGTTCTTATGATGAAGAATGCTGAGCGGAAAATATCTGGGTGAAGGGCGCAATGTGAAACTAGTAGTCCTCTTGATCGGATTCTTCTATCAGAAGTCTACTACTGTAAATTGCAATTGTATGCTCAGTATTATGATTGTGTTATTCGAAGTGTTGTATACCTCTGTTTGTAACGAGGCTAGCTCGCCGTGTGTAACGTTGTGCTCTGTTTCAGACTAGACTGTTAACTATGTGACATTAATTTTAGATTTCTAGAATTGCCACAGATATCTAGGGAAGTTCATGTGTATCTATGTGGTCTTGAAGTTATGTTAAGAATCTATGTGGTCTTTTCCAGTCATTTCCACGTCCAGCCATTTTATTTCTTCTGAATCATGAATATTCCCTCTTTGTTTCTGCCATCTAAGGCCCTGTTTGATACCCCTCTGATTATAATAATCAAAATTTTTGATCCAAATAGGATTGTTATACGATTAGATTATTATAATCAAAACTCTTAATTACCATAATCCCATAATCAAAACTCTTATATTGGATTATGGATGCTAAAAGTCCAACTTGTACCCCAACCGATTGTCCAACTTGCCAAACTAAAAAGGGCACACCCAGTGCTGGAGGCTCCCACATGAGTGGGGTCTGGGGAAGGGAAAAACCGAGGCAAGCCTTGCCCCCGCAAAATCTGCGGAGAGGCTGCTTCGAACCCACGACCTGGTGACTCAGTATGACAGCTCTCACCATTGCACCAGGCCCTGCACCAGGCCTGCCCTTCTCCAACTTGCCAAACTATAAAGAATAATATAGGAATTTCTCACTTTAACCTGCCATAATCAATCACCATAATCTAATATTATAACTAGAAACCACGGGCAGCGTTGCCGCGCGCTTGCCTGTATTGGGCCATCCTGCCATACGTGAGTTTATATGGAATGTGATGCTGGGCTCACTTTGGAGAATAAAAACAAAACAGCAACTATATAAATATGAAATATTAACTACCAAACAACTCATATCATAAGCTCAGGCAGTACTAGGTCATAGACTCGGCTACCAGCAAGACATTGCAGGTGCAAAGACAATCATTGTCTAGGTGAGCTTTAGTGTCCTTCATACTCTCCGATTCATCATCATCCTTGTTTGACCTGTGATGACGATGGAACGATAGCCTGAAATACAAAATGGCATGGCCAAAAATAATCATTCACATATGGTCACACCAAGAAGTAATCTTTTTAGATGTAGTCTACAGTTAAAGAAAATACAAGTTAGCATCAACTGACAGGGAAAGCAAACTCCAGGAGGTAAGCTAGAAGTTAATCCTGTTACCTAGGTTCTACTTCTACACTTGCTAAACCAATTCACTTTGATAAACCAATCAGCTGTAGATCACAATAGGTTTAGCATTAGGTAGTAGTAGAAGTAAGAAGTAAAAAAATACACAAGTATCAGTATTAAGTATTGTGGAATTGCTGAATGAAAAAGCTTCAGGATCATGGAAACTCTTCTTGGATGTATCCAGAGTCAGATAGAACTGCATGGACAGCAAAGAAAAAAAAGGACCAAGACGATGGACTTGACTAATCTGTTCATTAGAGAAAATAAGTACTGGTTTCTTATGCACACTTCTATTGCACCTAATTTGGGCATATTTGAGTTCTAATACACTCTAATGATGACTTCATACACTGCTATGTTCTAAAATCAAATGGGACTTCCCTCGGGCAGTCAACCAGATAGATTGTGTGTGTGTTCACAATACACTTGTATGTTTCAGCAGCTGTCATTGCGTCTCCACGCACTACCAGTACATTCGCTGTTTTAAATTGCATCAATTTAGGTGGATAGCCTGGTTGCACAGGTGCAGATTTTATTGTGCATTTGCTCTTACCTGGATGAGCAGGGCGGCTGCTTCAATCTTGTTTCTCTGAAAATATGGAAAGGAACTCGATATCTTTCATTCTGTGTTTTCTAGGTTGAAGCACCAATTTGTGATGGAACGCATCAAGGGGCTGCAGCGGGGTATCTCTGAAGCGTGGAATAGATTATTGACACCGTACAATCAGCACACAGGCGTGTATGGCAAGAAGAATGAGGGCAAATGAACTTACATGATAGACATCACATTTTGGCTAATTGAAAGCAAAAGCAAAGTTTATGCAGTTTACTGGATGGAACCATTAGCATTGCAGCTCATCAAATCAAGCAAGAGGCCGAGGACGAGCCGTAGCTCGTTTGGCTTGCTCGCTGTGGTACGAGCGGCCAGTCCTGGGTTTGATTCCTGGAATCAACCCAGGAGACTCACCTTAATAATTTCAGTTGCCTCTCGCGCAGATGTGCCACAATGGTCAAGTGACGTGCCCGTCATGCTCAGAGTCTAGTGATCTTCGAGTATCTCGCAGCTGCGTTCGTTGTCTAGGTATAGTTATAAGTTTGTTTGTATACCGTGTGTGTGGTGTGGTGTGTGTCTGTATCCGAACAGATACTACAGCTGTACTTAGATGAGAGGCCTCAAAAAAAAATCAAGCAAGAGGCCATTAGAGCTCGTGAAATTGTATGTTTGTAAGACATGGGAATTTCGTCGAACACATGGTCACTGGTCGGCAAACCTAGTACGGGAGGATGGCGACCAAATTGCAATCACTTTGCTACGACGACTAACTCGCCTAAGCTGAACGGCGTGAGCCTGGATCTGTATCTGCAACACTCCATTGCTTGTTTTAATATCAGGGAAGAAGTTTATCTGGGTAGCTGGTTTACTGGATGGAACCATTAGCATCGCGGCTCATGAAATCAAGAGGCTATTGGAGCCCGTGAAATTGTATTTGTAAGACCTGCAAGCTGATAGAGGATTGGGAAGACCGGAAGAGACGTTTAGGAAGAAATAAGCCTGAACGAGGATGGTAGCCTGTTCTGGAAGCTCGTGGACATACCTAGCCCAATCTGTTGTACGGCGTCCGATCTATATCCAATGGCCGAGAAATTACTGTTGACGTGGCCCAATGGATAGCAGGAGTTTGGCCTTCATTTCGTCTTTTAGAGATGATTCTATGCATAATCCAGATTATAATAATCCAACTGTGATTCAAACAAGCTCTCGCAAATAGCGAATTCCTAAAAAGTTGCGGATTCCAAAAGATCCAAATCACGAGGACATGAGGTTAACCCAATAACTTATGCTTGATAAAAGTATAAAAAAGTTGATGGTTAAAGAGAACTAGTGATAAAACAATTCATCATTACGAGCCTGAACAGCAGAAGACAGCTTTATAATTATATCATCACAATGTATATCTATAATGGGCCTAGTGCAAGCGGTAGTGTCTTACCGTCTGTGACCAGAAGGTCCCGGGTCCTCGCATTGCACAGGCAAGGGTAAGACTTGCCACTGACAGCCGTCCCCAGACCCGCACAGAGCGGGAGATCTCTGCACTGAGTACGCCCTTTTAATGTATATGTACAATCTGGCAGAGGATACATAGCTTGTCCTTATTTTAACACCAAACATTTGATGTGCTCCAGTGCATGTGCAATACTGCCAGCAGATAGGGCACACCAGTTACAAAGCACACATTAACGTCCGAACCAAGCCCAGTGTTTTTAAGTCTTACAGTATACAATCATATAACATCGGTTCTATGTCGCAAAGAACCGCTTGCACTGATATAGTAGGATTCCTTATCTGAAGCACTTTCCAGATTTTAGGCTGCAACTGGTTCACGCAGCTTGCTGCTGCCCTCAGATGGCACCAAGTTGTCATAGTATTCAACAAGTACTTTCCAGCCACCTGGGCACATAAAACCATCTGGGGGATTCTCGCGGTTCTTGGCAAGAGTGCGCATCTGAATAAGGCATGATTTGTTAGGGTTTGGCTACAAAGGATTGGTGCTGAAATTTACAAGATCCTAGCAATTGTGACAACTTACCTTTGTGCCAGAGATAAAGAGGAAATCATCTTTCCTTGATGGATCAAAGAAATCCATTTTCTGTTGCTTTGTGTCATATGCAGCCACCTGATCCAAAATAAGAGCCAAGAAACATGTCAATAAAACAGAAAAACAATAAATGTTTCTATTTTCTTGTTAATTAAATGACGTACATGGCATCGAGATTGACATGTGTAAAGATGTGAAGAAAAATGTTAAGTACAATATGTTATTCTTTACTTATTGCATATGCATGGAAGGAAGAAATCTGGTCAGGAAGGATGACATACCTTGAAAGGAAGGATGTTGAGCCTCTCAAGGCCAGGAGCCATGCTCAAAACCTTCTTTCCGTGATCAGCATCATAGAGGTCCCTTTTCTCCGTGGGGTGGCTCATACCAGCAGGATCCCTTCCAACAATATAGAAATTTGCACCAGCATTAATACGAGCCTTAGCATGCCACTGCACCTCAGTTGGCCCAGCATAATGCATTGGAGAGGGGAAGATCGCAACGACAGTTGACTCTGGGTTGAGGACACCTTCCTCAAGAACCTAGTAGAAATCAACAGTGTTAGAACAGTACAAGATTCAGAACTTGAACAGAGTATAGTTGACCCATCAAACCACCTGTTTCATTACAGGAAAAGACATCACTCAATTTGTACTGGAGTTTTAAGTAATTGTTGTACTACAATCTAAGTGATGTTCTGGAATTTAGATAAACTTTGGGTACACTTTTTGGGAAGATTAGGCATATTTCTCGGTGCCAACAGCAATTCCCATCAAAACATAATATCTCAAATTCTTGGACATAATTGCTGCTATTGACAACAAAATTGTTCAATGCTGACATAGCAGTTTCCATCAAAATAAGATGTTTAGTTCAAGGACACAGCTGCTACTACAGAGTAAACAGGAACCCAATTATTGAGAATTTGAGATTAAAGTAAAGAGTAGAATTATCATAGCTGAATACCTTCTCATGTTGCTTCATTCTCCAACTAAGAGGCACGTCATCTGCTTTTGTGAATCCTCCCAGTGGATGGAGCAGAAGAACAGGGTTTTTATAACCCATCTCAAGGAGGCGTTTGCGTGTGTCGGTCATAAGCAGAGCATGCCCATTGTGTACAGGATTGCGAAGCTGAAAGGCAAATACCGCATCAGCATTGCGCCTGGCAAACTCTTCACGCAGCTGTGCTGGAGACAGGCGATACTGATCTAGACCATCATTGTACTTGATTGGTTCTATAACCTCCAAGTCCCCACCAATCAACCAGTCACCAGCATTGGTAATAGCCTCCTCGACATAAGGTAATCCAGGTGCAGTTGTCCCCCATGTCCTTGCTATTCTTTCTTCCTTATTATGCTTATAGATCTCGATGCTGCAAAAGAGAGGAAAGAGTGTTAGGTTTGCTAAGATCGTGGTGTTGTTACTTTCCCTTCCTCTTAATGAAAGACGTGCTCAGGCACATTCATGAAGAAGAGAAAAGTGTTAAAATAAATCTGACACTCACTTGTGTCATATCAACAGATTATGCAATACATTTAAGAATAATAACATCATTATTTTCATTAGCAATCAGATAAGTATCTACAACAAAGCATGTGTTTTCCTTGTGACTTGAGACTACAGAGGCACAGAGATGTACATGGTTGACGTTATTACGTCACCGTACACATTTGATAACTACACGTGTAAAGCCGACATTCTAACTCCCTCTTTTCCTTTCCAATGATTGGACACATTTAGTAGTTTGTGAACAAGGATGAAATAAAATTATTAGCGTGACATGTGAGGATATTATCACACGACACTTTTAAATGAATATACCTATAATACTGGGACACGGCGAAAATGAGAAACACAATATTATTATTAGCGTGACATGTAAGGATATTATCACGTGACACTTTTAAATGAATATACCTATAATACTGGGACACGGCGAAAATGGGAAACGCAGTATCTACTAGTGGAAGTGATCTAAGATGTAGAATAATACAGCGAGTATGAGGTCCGAGGTCGAGGGTATGTCTATTGGCCTACACCAACTGCGACTTGGCTGATAACGACCGTATACAAATATCTTGATATAGTATGACGCTACTTCTCACTGTAATAGTAGAACTGACAAAAGAGGAAACCGCATCATATAAAAAATATGTTGACGTCAAGATGATTCTAATCGATAGAAATTTCACCTTAGAACAGTAAGCTCTACATTACGAAGTACGTATCATTCAGTAAATGGCTGGTAACAGAATCAGTGCTAACATAGTAACATTATGGAAGGCACCTACACATTCAGTAAATGCCAATTGTGGAGGGTCAAGCTCTGCACCCGATGAAAGAGGGAAGACATGTACGTTTTGAATCCATGTCTGTTTGTAGCTAAAGAGGTTATTCATGAACCTAATTAACCAGAAGCACAGGCTCACAATTCCAAACCCAGCTGGCAACTAGCAGGTAGCAGCAATTATGTCTTTTGTGCAATCATAAGATCCTACATGTTCTATTCGATCATCTTCAGTTACCAATGCATATATATAGAGGAACAGCGACAGGATAAAGAAACAAACAACAAAGGGGAAATTTGTTTGTCTTACTCGCTGAGGACGGCGATGGGGCGGTCGCGTTCGTCGACGAGCGCGACGCGCGTGGCGCCGTCGGCCTGGATGGCCCTTCGCTGTGCGTCCCCGACGGAGAGCACGATGGGGACGGACATGTTGACCATCCTGCCATCCTGGCCGCGAATGGCATTAAAATGAAGTGTTTGGAGGAACTCATCCTCGCGCATGAACCCTTGCAGCGGGCTCGCCCACCCTTCGCTGAGGACGTGGACCCATTCCTTGTCGACGCGGCTCAGGCGCAGGCGGTGCGGCAGCTCCGCCGCCTCCCGCCGCAGCGCCGCGCGCCGCCCGCCCTCCTCGCGCGCCACCAGGTCCACCAGCCGCCCGCCGTCGGGCTCGATCAGGCTGGCGCGGCACCGCACCCCGCGGCGCGCCACCGCGGCGGCCTCGGCAGTCCCCGCCCTCACGCCTACCCGCACGCCCACCTTGGCGCTACCCACCGCCGCCACGGGCACCCGCGCCGGCGCCACGGCGCGGTCGCGGCCCGGCTGCGCGGCGAGCTGCGAGAACCCCGCGAGGAAAGCGGCCTGCGTCGCCATGGCAAGGTGGGAAGGCTGCTGCTGCTGCTGCTGCTCGATTCGGCTCGGCCGGTGGCGCGCCTCGTCCACCTCTGCCTCTTCCACCTCACGCCGTGGTCTCCTCTTTATATCGCGGGTGCGTTTTGTTTGGTTTTGTAAATTGGCGGCCACCACGGGACCTTCGCAGTGGCTGCGTGGGTGATTTGATTAGGAAAAGGCAAAGAGGGGAGGCGGGTGTGCGTGAACCTGGATGGGATTGCGGGGCGGGAGGCCATGGGCGCGGTGAACGTAGCCTGCCGAGCGGGGATCGTGGGGCAGGGTGGTCAATGGGGGTCGATGAGGATGGATCATTGCCCTGTTCGCTTGGCTTTTGGTGTTTTGTTTAGGATGGTGAGCAGGTTGGATTTGGACTGCTGTTAGCGTGTGTGATGACACCTTTCCATTGTGTCTCCGGCAGTGAGGGATTCTCTGCGCAGGATAGGTTTGTGGCACACTGGTTATCATAGCTTATCGTTCATGAATGGAGAAAAAGATAAAAAAAGACCTGGGTGAAGTTTAACCTGTGCAAAGGTTAGCAAGGAGTTGGATGACAGCTTTGGTTATTTTTCAAACCAAGCTTTGGTTATTTTTCAAACCAGTCTCTTTATTTCTTTTTGAATTTGACATACCTTGTTTGTATGTATTTTTCTCCTTACAACAAAATACTAGTATCTCTGAACGAAAAGTTCAGCTTTTCTTTTTTATACCTCGACTCTTATATTTGTTAAAATCAGCTTCAACCTTTACTCTAAAGCATCACAAATGTACCTATAGGGTTCGAGGGTGCAAACAATTCAGGTTCCATTCCATTCTGTTGTCTCGTAGTTGGTTAATCGCAACACATACATACTCTCACCTCAATTCAAACAGCCGACGTGGCTGTCCATGTATGCCTCCACTGCCTACGCGGACAACCAAGTTGTCTTTTGGACGTCGCCTGGGCTCTTTTGGATCTAGATGGACCCAATTAAGTAGATTAGGAAGCAAAAAATGTGATACGTAGTTTGGAAACTCATACGAAAACCGTCCAATATTTTAAGGATCGACAATACAATTTACTCTTTTTATTATGACAAGAATGTCATCGCGAGCGATTTTTTTGGCTACAGGTCAGAAAGTCCCTTGTTTATGAATGTGCTTCCTGAAGATTACAGATTTGTGAAAAAAAAAACAATCAGCAGGAGTAGATGGACGGATGATTCAGGTTCATCTATAATTGAAACATATGCCGTCCCTAATGATTTGACTAAGCAGGGCCTGCCTAGTGCCTACCCCCACAATGGTGTGATTTTTTGTTTTGTTATAAAATTTTCATCCAATAAAATATGGCATGCCATCATCTCCCTTTTCCCCCCTCTCATTCCGAAAGTGGATATAAAAATGAATGTTGCACGGATGAGTCATGAGTCATGACTCATGAGTGGTTCATATAGGAATGCTTCCAAATCGCTATGCAGAAGACTGTCCTCTGTTTTTCTAAAATCCAGTAGAAAGCACAAAGAAAGGCTTGGAGGGGTAGTTGCATGGGGGACACTGGTAGCAGTACAGAGGAGAAAGGAGAAAATTACATATTTCACAGTTTCGCCATTTATATCATCGACTTCGCAAAAATAGATATCTAAATATGAGACAATTGATTTTCTTACCATTTAGTGTATTTTCTCTCTTTTCTAGTATTCTTCCATGTATTTATCACCTGCAAGGACGTATCTACCCTTCTGTCTGCGAGGTGGGCGAGGCAGAGCGACGCCACCTCCTGGTACTGCAGTGCGAGGCTGTCGTCCTTCTCCGCGCGCCGTGCTGCTCCTTCAGACCTCGCAGTGCTCCTCCTTCGCGCCCCTTGCGCTGCTCCTCCTCTGCGCCCTCGCGATGGCTGCGGCAACGAGCTTTCCTCTCCGGCGTGGTCGCTTGAGGCTCCGGTGACGAGGGGTGATGGTGGTGATGGTGGGGGATAAAGTTGCCTGCTGTGCTCAGAAGGTGTTCGGGTGATTCTAGCGGGTCTAGGTGTCCGTAGGCCGATACAGGGGGGATAAACTTACTGGCAGAGAGTAAGGGTGGGTAGGGGTGATTTTTGACGTCAGCTCGGATATTTTGGGATGCCGATCTAATAAAAAACTAATTACATAAAACCACGGTTGACTAATTTATTGTGTTCTAAAAAATACATGAGGTTATTCGTCTTTGGCTAATCATGGACGAAAGTATAAAATATTAGTCTCATGATTTCCAATTAAACCGATAAGCCTATATTTAATACTCCATGCAAACGCAGCAATGCAGCAAATATTTTGCGTAGTATAGTTACTACTCCTTACTACATGTACTACACTACTACATCGGTCACGGTCGAACACTGGAAGAGAGAGTAATTGACGACCTTCGCGAGCCGGTACCACAGGCTCGGCATTGATGGATCATGGACGGATGGATGGATGGATGCACCGTGCCACGAGCGCGTTGTAACCATGTGGATCGAACAGTGACCACAAGAAGCATTCGAATTCAGAACACCGAGCTGAGGCAGGGAGTGCCTCCGTTTTGCTGATGGTTATACTCCACCACCACCACCACAAGACTGAAGTGGCCGCCTGACGTGGCACTCGCACGCACGCAAAACGCGTTTAGGCCCGCGCATACGTATATGTATGGCAATCAATCGCCGATATGCATGATGATTGCAGTCAGTGGCGAGGGTGACACACGCGACAGGCAGGCTGCGGCCGCGGGCACGCACGCACGCGAACCACGCGCGAGCGGATCGCCGCTCGCCGGGCGGGGGAGGGATAACCGGATGACTCAAAATGGCAACGGGTACCCGATGAGTACTGGCCACCCGTACCCACATCCACCAGATCAAAATCTTATCCGTCGGGTTATCCGTACCCGCAGGCGGGTAGAAAATTCATTCCATACCCGCACCCGACGAGTAATTCTTACCCGACGGATAACCCGCACCCAACAATATACCCGAGTTCACACACCAAAATATAATAGCTTCCATCAAAACAAATCAACAATAGAGCAGCAAAACAGAAATATATCCAGGTCAAGCTAGTTGAAATAGATTAGATGCCTCATTGGTTCATTCCAGCAAACTACAAATTAAATGTTTGAGGGAGTTCTGGAATATATATACTCATATGCTTATATGGATCAAATATGTGCTATATACTTATATGGACTAAAATTGCAGAGGTTGGATATTATTTATGCGGGTTTTTTTTACCCGCGGGTATGAGTAGTATACACCCACACCCGTACCCACATACCCGATGGGTACATGAATTCGTTCAATAACGTATCCGCGGGTATAAAATGTCTTCCATACCCGCCTCGATAAAACCCGTCGGGTACTCGGGTTTTGGGTCCCCTGCCATTTTGAGATGAGACCCAAGTCGGGAGAGGCCGACACCGACAACAAGGGAGGGTGCACCTGCACTGCACGAAGGGAATCAACTCGGTGGAGCTAGCGGAGGAGGAGGACAATGCTCGAGCAGACAGTAGAGGACCAAGGTGAAGAGAAAATCATTCGAACGACGAGGAGAGGGAGACCGTATCCGTACGGGAAAGCCTAGTGTCGCGCGGTGGAGTCGGAGCGCGACTAGTCGCTTCTTAGACTTTGCGGTCGACGAGAGGACTAACACGAACCACTTGTGTTGTAGCCCATCAACAACAATACAGCCCTGTTGCAAAAAAAAAACAATACAGCCCAAGTCCAGTTAGCCTGCGTTTATCATCAACTCAATCCCGTCTCAGAAACCAGGAATGCTGCCTACCCCTGTCCTATCCTATCCCCATTCGGCCACTCCCCCAGTCCGCGCAAGGGTGCCGGACGGCGAGGCCAGTGTGCGAGGTGCTCGGCAAGACGGCGGCAACCCCGTCGATTCGAGGCGCGGGCACCGGCAAGTGCCACTCGACGAGGCACGAACGCCAGCAGGGCTGACGCGGTTTCCACAGCCGCCGCCCGCCTTCAGAGTTCAGAGAGCTCAGAGTCCAAAATCCAAGCTCTAAACAGGCTCGTCCATGAGCAGATAAGGCGCGCGCCGCGCCACGCCACGCCGCGGCCACCGCGAGTACGTAAGGAGTCCCAACCCCCCACGTAAACTCCCATCGGCGGGCCGGCATGGGGGCGCTACCCGTCGCCCACAAGCTCGCTCTCACGGCCCCGTTCTTCCCGTGCCACCGCCGGCCCGCGGCCCACGGCCGGCATGGCCGGCGCCGGCGGTACGGGGCTGTGGTGGCGTACATGGAGCCGAACCCCAACTCGCCGGCGGCCATCGCGGGGCGGCTCATCGGCGCCCTCCCCGTCGTGGGCCTCGTGGCGCGCATCCTCAGCGACGAGGGAGGCGTCGGCGGCGACATCATCGACTTCGCCGAGTTCCGCCGCCGCGTCAGCAAGAAGTGCACCGTCATGGACTCCAAGGCCTTCTACGACTTCAACCAGCGCCGCGGGAAGGTACCTTTGCTCTGCTGCTCTGGTTATGTATCTATAGTGCGCACAGCTTCTGAATGGAATGGAATGATAAAATCTTTTCGTCGCGTCGTTGGGCAGCCGGGAGATCCGTTCTACGTTCTATTATGCTGCTGGCTGGCCGCCATTGGAGCCGGGCTGCTCAAAACGGAGGAGATCTTGGAAGGCGTGGCGCGGCTCCGCATCTCCAACGATATCGAGTTCGAGGAGGAGACGTTCATCGACATGATGAGGGCGGCAAGGGAGGTATGTAAACAGCTACCCTCCTGCTCTTGCTCTTGCTGACGATGTAACATTATATTATTCTACTATCTGCAAATTGCAACGGTGTATGCTAGAATCAGAGAAGATGAATCGTGTGTGATGATTGATTGATGCAGAAAAGGGCGAAGCTGAAGGCTCCAGCTCCGCAGATACCGATGGAAACGCGGGCGGAGAAGGCCCTGGAAGCCATCTACGTGTGCTGCTTCGGGCAGGACATGGTGGAGGAAGAGGACGAGAAGCTTCTCCGGACGATACTGAACGCGGTCTTCCCCTCCGTCGGGAGGCCGGCGGTCGAGAGGATGGTGGCGTCCATGGCCAAGCAGGTGGCCTCCGGTGAGAGGAAGCGGGACGAGAGGACCGTGTCCAAGGAAGTGCAGCAGCGGCAGCTCAAGGACCTGGAGTTTCTCAAACAGAATAAGCTGGAGTCATCGTGAAGCAGCCGCGAGCAGAAACTTGTCGTGGACACTGTGTAGTCCAACAAACATAAATCACGAGACGTGCTTCGCCGTTTGTAGCCTTGCTCGGTTCCTTTTGGAACAACGGATTCATGAAGGAATTTTGTAGCATTAGAATGGAATTCTATATATATGTGAATTTGTCCTATGTTTAGCCCTTTGGAAGTTGGAACAAGGAAGTGGCCATACTGAAATCCTACAGGTCCTACGAAATGCCTCAATCCGTAGAAATTTGTGCGCTAATCTAACATGACATCCAAACTCCTTTGTGGTTGTGGCTCTCTCCCTCTTGCAATTCCTGTACTGTTCTTTTTTCCTATATTGCTTCCAAACACTATATTAGAAACTTCCCTAGTTTCTTAATCTCTGCAGGACAATTGACATTCAACTATAATCCTATGTTTTTCCTATAGTATGTTCTATAAATCGTGCGCTCTAATTCATGAGGTGTGCCAAGTGCGATAGGGAAGCAAGTGGAGTCGATGCAGCTCACTGTCACATTGTGAATGGTAATTCTAAAAACAAGATCTACAACGAAGCAACAGGCGTTTTCGTTATTTGACTTTTTTGGTACATCCGTTTTGCTATGCATCTGGATATAATAATATGTCTAGATACATAACACAATGGATGAACTAAAAAAAGTCAAAACAACTTATAATTTGGAACGGAGGGAGTAGAAATTAAGAGCATGAAAAAAGTATACAAGCTTGCTGATTGCAGAAAGTGGCAACTGGTAGTATTTGTTTTGTGTACGAGCGACAAGTGTGTCTGTTCACGATTGCAGAGAGGACAGAAAGAGAGGCAAGGGTATGAAGTATGTATGCGCAGCGCACCTGAATGCCGTACTGGTTGTGACTGTCTATGCACGTCCGATCGATGTGCCCAAAGGGAAAAAGTGAAACTGTCACAGCATGATCTAACCACCACTCGCAAGCCTCGCGCAGCAACCCACACCATGACATGTGTGTTCCACTCCATGGTGGATGCCCGCCGCCCGCCCATATGGAAATCCAGCAAGCAAAGCGAAGCGAAGCTTTGCCGCTGTCTTCTCCATGGAGACAAGCACAGGGCGCTACACGAGGAGCAATGCCGTTGTTAGATCATGCTGGCAGCTTCACTCTTTCTCTTGCGCACTCAACTCACACAATTCCTCCGATCCGGTCGGGTCCAATCCGCCGTGCAGACTGCAGAGGGCTCGCGCTCACGGCCCCCATGCCCCATGGCGCGGCAGCTCAACACACCACATGGCCACCCCACCGCTGCTTATATAGACGGACCGACGGACGGACGGATCGCCGGGCAGAGAGCCAGAGACCGGCCCGGTTGGGGGTCACATGGGGACGGCTTCCGGTCAAGGTGGCGCCCGTGCATAAACAATCCCCGCCCTGTCGCTGACCCGGCGAGCGCGAAGGGGATCCGATTCCGAGGCCGGCGAACTGCCAATCAGCGCCGAGTCAAACGCGGGGGCAGCACATGCGCGTCGCGGCGCGTCGCGCGGAGGCGAACGTGGCCTCGTCGCCCTTGCGCTGCCGCCGCGGGAATTAACTGCACGCCCCCGCCCTGTCCTCGCCCGCAAACAAATTCCGTCTCGAGAATGCAAACCCTCGACTTTTAAAAACGGTTTTTTGGACGAAATAGAACTATAGAAGTGCAGAGGCTGGTCCATTCAGTTCAGAGATGCAGGATAGTCAAACATATCCGAGTGCGTTGCTTAAAATATTCAACCAACCAAACAAAAATATGTAGTAAGGTTGATTGGTCGGAGTAATATACAAAAAGCCAAGTTTTCCAGATCCGTGCAGAATGCTACAAGTTTTCCAGATCTGTGCAGCATGCTTACAAGAATCAGCAGGAGATCGAGCATAGCCCAACTCACATTTACCTCTTGAAGATGCCAAAGGCAACGGTTTAAATACGACGATCGGTGACAATGAAATCACGACACGATACTGCATTACTGCACACAATACGAAGAGCCAGCTGTCAAATTGTTCGGCAGTCTCTGACTGTCAAGAAACGGCACACGATACAGGGGCCTTGTTGAGATTGTAAGTTTTTTCTCTCTCTCCATCACATCAAATCTTTCAACACATGCATGGAGCATTAAATATAGATAAAAAAATAACTAATTACACAGTTTGATTGTAAATTACGAGACGAATCTTTTGAGCCTAGTTAGGCCATGATTGGACAATAATTATCAAATTCAAACGAAAGTGCTACAGTACCAAATACTGATTCGTAACCCAATCTAAACAAGGCCAGGTTTCCGAAGAGCCCATGCCCCCAAAAACCTCTGGTGAAATCAGCATAAATAACCTCACGAAAACACAACTCAAATGTCATCAATTGTTACAAGTACACGGACGACGGTCTCTAGCTGGCTCAGTTTTTCTAATAAAAAATAAAATAAATAATACAATACACGTACAGAAGCGAATGCAGCGGTCTAGCAGACAAATGCCTTGGGGCACCAATGACCTAAGTTGATAACTTAAACCCCCATCAAGTGATGATGGCAACAATGAAAAGGGGAAAAGGGGATGGGGTTAACACATACATGATCAGATGACAACTACTACAAGTGGAAGGACCCAGATGCCGTGCCGCTACAAAACTGACTGACTCGGGAGGAGCTCTGGCGACCAAAGCCGCTAGCCTTGGTCCCACTTCTCATGTTCTGCCTGGCTGCACCTGAAGACCAACTTGCCGAGAGCTGTGAAAAGGTTGGGTTAGAGCATCAAACCTCTGAGGCCGGCCAGATGTCATGCCTTCCAATGCGCTTTACCAATGTCGGTCACGACTTCACCACCAAGTTTCTCGTTCATTCAGTATCCAAATGTTCACCTCATGTCGTAACATGTGGGTAAGGAGCACAGTGAGTTGTAAATTTGCTCAGCTTTGGGCCGCTTGGATGCATGTCCTCTGGTACACTGGTAGAAGAGATCTATCAGATGTCTCAGTTTATCTGCATGAGCATCAGATGTGATCCCTAAGTTTAGCCTCGTAGATGGCTCATCCATTGTCCAGAATGCTTCTAATTCCTGAGTTAGCCTTGGCCTCTGTTTCTTCCTCTGAAGAGACGGGATTAGGAAGATGGTTATACATTCATATGTAACCACTAGAGCAACTACAAAAACAGTTATTTGCACTGGTATGACAGGGTCTTACCAGTATCAGATCATATATTTCTGAGTCAGGAAGTCCCTGGTAAGGCATCCGAAGCGTAAGCATCTCCAATAGAAAACATCCAAATGACCAGATATCTACTTCCTGCATCCAAGAAACATCTAATCAGACAACCGAACCTCTTGGGGATTTGGTTGGGATTGGGACAGGGTAGATCTGTAGATGTTTGACTAAATAGTTTTGTACAATGTACTCCCTCCATGTTGGTAAAAGAAGTCGTTTTGGACAAGGCTTGGGTCAAACATTGGGAATATAAATCATGAATAACTTTTAAGTTGTTGAGTGACATATATCACTTTCAATAAATATTTTTATAAACATTAGAAGTCAAAGTTATGCTATGGTGACCGTGTCGCTGTCCAAAACGACTTCTTTTAGCAACCTGGAGGGAGTACATACCTAGGGGGGCTAAGTATTAATACTAACACAGTTCTTCAGTTCAAATGGATCTCAATTTACTAAAATTGAAGTGGACTTGCAATGTGAATCCAACAGACATGCATTCACACAGGTTGCATGATAGTTACAGTGGTCAGAGTAATATTTTTTTAAGGTCAGAGTAATGTTTGAAGTATGTCTCCACAAGATCAGGGCAAAATTTGTTACTGCAATATAATTGATTCCCAGATCAGAACATATTTCAAATAGAAGCCACATTCAAAACATTGGTGTACACATATACTTAACGAAACCATATAATATTTCACAATGCAGGTTGCTGAGAACAAAATAACCACCAAACTCACCAACAAGCATGCACAATAACTGAACAAATATAATAATGAATAAACAACAAAACAGTAATTATCTAACAAATTCTTACCAGTCCATAGTGGTGTTTTTCATGCATGGCCTTAACAATCTCTGGAGCCATCCAACAAGGTGTTCCAACACAAACATTGGGTGGGTGTGTACCAAGGTGAGATATACAGCATGTATGGGATAAAGAATGCAAAGGAACGGATCTGTCAAAATCAGAGAGTTTGACAATGGGGGCACCAGCATTCCTCTTGGAATCCAGATCAACCAAAACATTCTCACTTTTTATGTCCCTGTGAATAACGAGCTTCTTGTGCATCTCCAACAATGCACAAGCAACTTCCCGAGCAATGTAAACTGCCAGATCAATGGGGACACACTTCTTGCCCTCCTTCAGTAGCTTTGTCAAATATCCCTGACGAGTAATTAACAGGTACGGTACCAAAAATGAACATCTGAATTAATGTTGAAACAATACAGGAGAAAGTCATAAACATGATAAATGATTTTTACCTTAAGAGAACCTCCATTTACATATTCCATTAAAATTATAGACTGCAATATCCTATATTCTTTATCACCTTCGACTTGAACCCATTTAGATGAAAGTTGGTGTCCATATATGTCCACTATGGATCTGTGCTTCCTTAACGCACCCAGCATTCTTACTTCTCCCAGAAGCTTGTATTCAAAAAGTTTAACTTCATCGTTTGAGGCACTGCGAGTATCCAGATACCGTATCTGCAATTGCAACAAAGTCAAGCACATACACCCAAAAATACCACACAGAAGGCACAAAGAATAAAAGGTAAAAGAACAAAAACCTTTGCAGCAGCATCAACAGCACCAATTTTACAGTGATAGACAGAATTAGAAGCTGTAACTTCAATTTCTTTGCATGATGAGACAGATGGGAAGGAACACCGAGGAGTATAGTCCTCATCATCAAGTGCAATTTGAAGTCGACTGAGCGGTACATACCTGAAACAGCACGGAGATAATGGGTTAATCAAACATAAGATGATGATCTTGGATTCAGAAATAAACTGTATGTAGCATGTAATACTTGTGTCAGCGCCTCCCTGAAACAGCTAGACTAATGTGCATGGAACACTAGATCAGCAGACAAGATCCCCTACCATCAGGTGAACAAAATAATAAAGGATTAAAAGAGTATCTACCAGCAATAACCAAATCAAGAATTGAAAATATAAAAATGGGCTCAATCCCTGCCACAAAGTGATGATATTTTCTTAACTGTTATAAATTTTCCAAATGAAAATTGTACAGGCAGACGAACAGCTGCACAGGAGAAATTTGTAAAGATAGGACTGCCAACTTGGCAGCATCATGGACCATCTCATAAATAGAATGTGACAAAAGGTAGTGAATACAATACAATGTTTTACAATACTGTTCTTTTCAGAATATGATATAAACAGAACCTAAAAACTGGAAATTAGCTGTTTAAGAAATGTGTGATGTGGCATTTTGTAGGTCCTTTATGCCAGACACAATATTAGCATACGCCGAAACAGTGCTAACGCAATATTGACCATAATAGGGGCAAGCATGGTGCGGTTCTTATTGCAGGTGCTCTCCATGTAAATGTAAGACATAATCTGTTGCTCCCGTTTCTCCATTGTTGGAGAATGGTCGGCTTGGCCGACCACTCCCTGTTGGGAGTTGGAAACTGATCGGCTCTGCCGAGCAGCTCCTGTAGCTGTAGCAGTAAGGCAGTAGGCCATAGTAGTAGTGGTTTACTTCAGCCATGTAGGGTAGAGATGGCTGAGCTAAGCTTTGTACCTTACGAGTAGGTAGTTGGTGTACACTTGTACCTTAGGAGTAGGAAGTTGGTGTACTCTGTACCTTAGGGGTATGTAGTTAGTGTACTCTTGTACTCCGGTAGTAGATAGTTGGTGTACTCACCAACAACTATGTACCTGGTAGAGGTACAGCTAGAGTTGCATATATTCTATCCAAAGGCAATATAGCAAATCAGTTCAGTTTGCCACATCCAGAGGCAGAGCTTTCAGCCAGTGCTGGGCTTGTGTGTATGAGTTATTCTCAATATCTTCTTCTACCTCTAGCCATAGTGAGTGAGTGTGCTGGTAAGCTTACTGCTTGCCTGAGCAGGGCAGCCGAGGGACCAACAGTAAATACAACAGGCAAAAAGAATGGAACAAGGGAATTTACAATGATTTCTGCTTACAAAGAGTATAGGAATGTAAGATCACACGCTGCTCACCTGCAGAAGTACTCTGGATATGTCTCGTCCTTTATGTTGGTGGGGTAACAAGCATCAACAATCATCCTTACCCAGCCATTCCCTTTTCTAACAGGAACAACGTTCCAAGCATGAGGTGTATAGTCAAGATGGCCCCTCACAAGCTCACAAGGAATTGGAGGGTCCGCCCGGTCACACAAATACTGCAAAGCATATGGTTACAGTGTTCAAACTTCAAAGTACAAATACAAAATGTCAAAGTACAATACAGAACGGAAGCTGGTACAGGGAACAGGGTTACTACCTTCATTAGGACAGCTCGGTGCCTACAAACACCAATTTGCAATGAACCTATAGGTACAATACCCGAATTTCTTCTTTCCTTGATGAGATGTATTGATCTATTACACAGACCAGTAAAATCAAAGTGCCCAGAAAGAGTATTGGTCTGCTTAGAAGCTTCATTGTTGTCGCCTAAGTTCCCAGCAGAACAAGTACAAACAAAAGGCTGCTCCTTCCTCAAGCTAACAATAGCTCTCCGTGTTCTCCCAAGAGAAGCGCTTCGGTCACAACCACCAAAGCAGTCAGAAACAAACAAAGCGAGCACTGATGCCCTCAGTAAATCATGGCCTGCATCTTCCTCCATTTCAAAAGAGCTTGGCCTTGTCAAACTAGATAGCAGCAATTGTGCTGAAGAGGCAATTGTATCCAATTCTTCATCTTGTTCTCTAAGAAAAACAAAAGAATATTAGAACATACAGCATGGAAAAAGAATGTAGACGGCCCCATATGGATAAGAATGGACACTAACCTGTCCAAGAGAATAACCTCCCGTGCATACAGCCCAAGACTCCTTTCATACTCCTCTAATGACATGAAGGGCATATCTCGGCCTGCGTCATAAAAACCATCTGGTAGATGATCATCTATGCTGCAAAATGATTCCACACTGTATTTATATGAAAGTTTTGAGCGTTCATCAATTGGTCGAGGGCATTTGCTTGGTTTAGGATTGCTGTCCATATCAGGGTGCCTTTTAGATTTTAAAGCACACTTGGATGTCACTGAAGGATTGTCACGAGCAATCTCACCAACATCATGGGCAGATGAAGCAGTATCATCTAGTTCATTTTCAACGCTGCAGATCCTGCCTCTGCTGAAACTAGCAGGCTCCCCACTGATACAAGAATTGTCATCATCGTAACCTCTCATATTGAATCCAGGTTTCTCCTCGTCATAGTGATCCTGTACCATCATGCCACTATCCTTTGTAAGCCCATCCAAATCATCATCGACTATTGAAGATACATCTTCAGATATAGAACTCGTTTCTTTCAACGAGTCCTGTACTAAGGTTTCTTCGTCAATTGTTCTGATGCCTAGCTTGTTTTCCATATCTTGCAAACTAGAAGGACAATCATCTTCAGCCATGGTCACAGCCATTTCATCTATGTATTTTTCATGGAGCTTGCTCCTGCTAGTCTCCAAACGCTCCTGGCGAGCTTGTTGTTGCAGGCAATCCCGTCTCCTCCAGCCCTTCTTCATTTTCTGTGGGGTATGGTGTTTCAAATTTGGGGAAGCTTCTGGTTGTAAGCATAAAAGGGCACTGTCGCAAGCACAACTTGAAGTACTAGATTCTGCTAAACTACTCATGTCTGCTACACCTGTGTACTTCAGCTTGCAACCCTTCATAGCATTTTCAACATTTCCCCTCATATCACAGCATATCCATGAAGGAATTACATAGGAATGGGAGAGCCTATTAAACTTGAAACAGAAAACAAGATGTCAATGTATGATATTTAATATTTAAATTTATAAAAAGAGCATCCACGATATAAAAAAAATAGCACCAATGAGTAATAAGTATATAAAATCATTAGCACAAAACAAGTGACCCCTCCTGCCCCCCATAAAATCAACACATGCTTTATTTTTGGGCTAAATACATCCTCTAACACATCTGCCCTTAAATTTTCAACACATTTAAATGGAATACATATTGTTATATTGAACCACATGAAACAAATATAGCAGAAACACTAGTATAGACAGTGGAATAGATGTTAGAACAATTCGAATATAGCAAATAAAGAAGAAACATGTAATTTTACTCATGAGAAGAGGCATAATAGATAGAGAAAATACCTGAAGGTTTAAATACTGCAGCGTAAGCATAGAAATAAGTTTAACCGAACCAAGAGAAGTCAATCTGTTGTTTGATAAGTCAAGGCTTTCAAGACATCTCAAAGAGGAGATTCCTGAGGGTACATCTACCAACTTATTATTGGTCACTTTGAGGAACTTCAGCGCACTCAACTCAATTATACAGTTAGGCAAGTTCTTCAGTTTGTTGAAAGAGAGGTCAAGCTCTTGGAGCTTCCTGAGGGAACCAATCTCAGGAGGGAGGTACCTGTACATTGTGAGTTTGTGACAAGGATAACAATCAGTCAAAACTCAAAAGAGTAGCTCATACAACAAGGCAATTCAGTTAACTACTCCAATCATTAAAGTAGCACACATCTGACACAATCACGGTCCCCAAAGACATCAGCTATGTCCACTGATTTGTAACCTACTAAAACTTTAATGCAGTGGAAGTAATTTCAAATTGAATCTACCAATAAAATTTTCATGTATCCATTCTAAATATTCATCAATGACCAAAGTTTGACTGAAGATATCACAAAATGGCACTATAGAAAGAAAAAAGGGGAAAACCTCAACAAAACTTGGTTCCAACAAAAAAAAAAGTATGAGAAAAGCTACATGTAAGTATAATGCATCACAGAATCAAAAGTTTAGCAAAAGCAATTCTACCATTGTGTTCATATCACATAGCACTGGTGCTCATTTAGTAAAGGTGCTGCATAAATGGCCTGAAACATCAATGTGTTCATAAAACATATCACTGGCATTCAATTAGTAAGGTTGCATTTGATTTGGGATGAGGTGGGACAGAACGGTGTCGCCCCAGTTTTCTAGGATGGGATGATCTCATCTCCATGTTTGGTTGTGGGGAAGGAGTCAACCATGTTTTGTGTTTGGTATGAGGGATGAAAAAGGTGGATGGCCGTTTTGCATCCGTTCGCAACCGTCAAGGTGGGCCCACGTGTGATACTCATTTTCCCCTTTCTTCCTCCTTTACTCTCTCAAAACAGAGCACATTCATATATATAAAAAAAACAGAGCAAATCCATGGCCGGAGCAGCATCTGTGCCCACCGCTGCCTGCCCTGCTTGGTGAGGCAGCTCCACCTGGCCCAGCTGCCCTCCCTCACCGGCACGGAGGCGTGGCTACCACAGAGGCCACCCTCCTTCACAAGTGCGGCTTCGCCCACTGCGTCTGTCCCTGCGCTGTTGTCACAGCGGTGGGGACGTGCGTGCATGCGCACGTGTGGAGGGGAGCATGGGGGTGGCGCGCGGCTGGCCCACCAATGGTGTGCACGGAGGAAGAATGGCGCGAAGCAGGAGGATGCAGTAACGGAGGAGAACAGCGTCGACAGGGAATGGGTTGGTACCTCTGTTTTTGAGGGATGACGGTTGAGGAGAATAGTCTCTCCTGGGGAAGGCTCCCTGGACTGCCCCCCCAAAAAAAAAAAACACCAAACAAACCCTTATTAAAAGTTGTACCCAACTGGTCTGAAACATCAGTAATTACACTCCAGAAACTAAGAGAAACTATGTCCACATCCCACAGATGGATCAAATTCATGGAGCCATTTGATGACCCTAACAGTGATTCAGCAATTTAAAGGTTGCACACCGAACATGGTTGCCATTATATTTTCAGCAATAAGAGTTATGGTTATTCTACAGAAAGCAACCATCTTAATTAAACTCCAACGCAAAGCCAATGGGTACACCACCACCACTGAAGCAATGAAGCACAATAAATAATAATGCACATGCATTCTAGTGTATTTGAAATGCAAATAGCAGCTATCCACTATTCAGGAATTTTGTACTGTGATGGATTGAACAGTAAACAAATGAATTAAAATCATGACAGAAGCAAAGTAAAAAAACATATACACGACAATATTCAGTCAACCTAAATTAACACTTGACAAAAGAAATCACGGTTACCAGAAGCTACCTAGCACAGAGAAATTCAGTCTAACCAACAGGCATTGCTAATCATGGTTACCCATCCAAGCTTAGTGACACACACCATTTCCCCTACCGTCATGCTACTGAATTGAATTGAATAATTAGTAAGGGGGGGAAAACAGCTGAGAACACAATAAAGCAACCACATTTAAGCTTGAAAACGCCAAAAAAAAGAAGGCAGGCACGGGGAATTGGATTTGCGGTTTTGCACAAACCTTATTGAGAAGTGGCAAATGGTGAGCTTCGTAAGGCACTTCAGCCCGGCAACCTCCGCCAGTATGGAGCACGAGGACGGCCTTGGCGGCACCATTGAGAGCTCGAGCTCCTTGAGAGCCTGCATCCGACGGAGCGGCGCCCCTGAGACCCTGGGCGCGGACACCTTGACCTGGAGGCTCTCGAGCCCGTCCAGCTCGCCCCCGGCATCCGCGGGTAGCACCTCCACATCGTTGCCGAAGAACTTGAGCGACCTGAGGCCGCCGGCTCCACCGCCGATGGAGCGCGGGACGAGGTTGAACGTGTTGCGGTAGATGTATATCTCGCGGCCGCCGCCGGCGGGGGGCGTGGGGAGGGTCGCGAGGTCCCAGACGTTGCCTGCGACGTCGGAGGCGTCGGATCTGCGGGCCGGGAGGTCTTCTGCGTCAGGGATGGAGAAGGCCGGGGCCATGGGGCGCCGCCGGACGGCGGCGCGGCGGCGAGGTTTTGGGCAGCGGAGCCTAGGGTTTCGTACGGGCGAGAGAAAGGGGGAACGAGCAGGAGAGAGAAAGAGAGAGAACGGAGGTGGTGGGAATAAAAAGTTTTTGTTTGTAAAAAGAAAAAAAAGTTTTTTATCGAATCCATTACAATTCTTCGAAGTTGGAGAAATGACATTACAATTCGTGTATTGTGAAACATGCCATTATAATTCTGGGTGTTACTGGTGCTGGTCATTGTCTACGTATGTGAACAGCCCGGGCCCACTGTCAGGTCGAGGAAGACGTACGTGACTTCCGTATGGACATCGATGCCCTTCTTGTGTGTTACAAGCCGCCGCGCCCTCTCTCCTGTTCAATCCATCCCCCACCGTGCTCCTCTCCGTCTTCCTCTTCCTTTCCCTTCCGTAAGAACCCTAACCCTGACTGTAGCCGCCGTCGGAGACCTGCGGAGCTGCGACGGCGACCTGCGCTCATCCTTCTCTGTTCCCCTCCTCCAAGAACCCTAACCCTAGAATATATCCAGCATCCAACCCCCCGCCTTAGCTGACGTCGTAGCCCACGGCGGAGCAGTCTGGCACGGCCACCGCCGGTTCGATGGCGGCGCCCAACTTTGAAGCCATGGGCGGGAAGTGGAGTCGCAGCACCATGAAGGCAACTTCTAGTGGCTCGAGCTCGACGCCCAGCGGTAGAAGGGAGTGCCCCTTTTGCCATGTTGCTTTGGTCCGCATCCAGAGCAAGCAACCGGCGACAAAGGGCGAGTGGTACCTCAAGTGCCCGTACAACATCAAGGTTATGATTTTGGATATTATTGTGCTCGTTGTGTGTTGATTCATCTCTGATTTATGCCCTTTGTTTTGATTGCAGGATGATGATAGTACTTGCCCATACATCCGCTCTATGAAGGAGTATATGGCCTTGGAAATAGAGGAACGAAAGGTGCAGTCAGTGAAGGATGCAGCTGGTGTTTGTTGTGCCAATTTGAAGGAAGAATTAGAACTGGTGAAGCAAACACTGGATAGTGTTGTAGCAAAGGTCTGAAAAATAAAGATACTACATGTTGAGGTGATGCCTGCAGTGAAGTCTGAAGTCGACAACAAGAACATGCCTGCAGTGAAGCCTAAAGTCGACAACAAGATTGTGCTTGATTCTTCTTTTGTAGCCGTTGTCTTTGTAGGATTTGTCAGTGTTCTGCTTGTGGCTGCAATGTGGAAGTGAACTGATTGTAGCAGTTTCTGTTAGTAATGAGTGTGTGTGTGTATATTTCCAGAGTATGAGTGTGTGGCTATATGTTTCCAGAATTGTAATGAAATGAACGTATGGTATGAATTGAAATGGGTACCAAATATCGGATGAAATGAGAATTAGTGATCGCTCAGCTTGCATATCTCCGTGTGCTTTAGCTTGAACCAGGATATCTGATGAAATGAGCCTGTGCCATGGCCTCTACTTGCTTCTTGCTTCTTGCTTCTTGCTTCAGCAAGATGCTGTTGCTGTTGTTCGCCTTCGCCATTGCATAGATGCACCATAACATGTAGAATGGTACCAACACATATGTACCAGTGCCACAGTTGCAACTTTGCTTTGGTAGTAGAAGTACAGGCAAAATGAGCAAATACTTCATACTTCAAGCAAGTATATCCTAGAATAGCAAACTGAATGCTGGCAACCATCACAGAAAAATGTAGATGTAGATGCAAGCAGCACCAATAGGCAATTTCATTGCACATAAGACAGTTCTACAATGCTGGCAACCATCTTCGAAGTTTACAGCCATTACTCCGACATACCATTCAGCTTACATAGCACCGGCATTAACAAGGGCACTACAAAAGCAAAGCAGATTACAACACTCAGGCTATTCTTAGATTACAAAAGCGCCTGTTCAGGTCCAAAGGCCATATAGGCCACAAAGGCCATTTACATCATAGACTCCTAAGTCATAAAATAACATCCAAGTCACAAAATAACATCCAAGTCATAAAATAAGCTGCAGGTGGATTACTGCCCATTATTCAACATATCCATCAGACCTCTAACAACCTTAGCAGGTGGAGCCACAGCCTTTTTCATCAATTTTTTCTTGACTGGTGTTTTCTTCTTCTTAGCTGTCTTCTTGTTCTTAGCTAAAGCTGACTTCTTCTTCACTTGAGATGATCCAGCTTTTTCTTCAGCTAGCCTCTTCTTGCACCATTAGTTCAAATAAATTATTTTTGATACCACTATTTAGTAGACAGATACAAAATGAACATAGTGGAAGTCTTACTTTTTATTCAGTGCAGCAGCAGTCTCACCATTAGGTCCCATCTCAGGTTCCTTGCATGTCTTGGCAAAGTGTCCAAAACCTCCACACCTTCGATATTTCACTTTCTTCTTTATATTGTTTTTTCCAAGCAACCTCTTATCCTTACCACTTTAGGCCTGCCTGATCTTCTTCCAAGTAATGGTGGGAAAACTTTAAATCCCAGCTCAAAATGAGGCCACTAGGACCTGTCTGGCATAGGTTCCACTCTCTGTTCACATGCAGCTCTAAACTTTGCAACAGAGCAATACTCATGGGCATAGTCAGAGATTTGGACTCCTCTGTTAGAGCAAATCCATGCCAGGGCGTGCTTGCAAGGCTTGCTAGTTATTTGCCATTCCCTGCAGGAACACTTGTGGTTTTCAAGATCCACTGTGTGCCTTTTCTGGTTGTTCCAGTCATCTAATATTGTGACCTCTGCAATGCCATCATCACAGGTTGCAACCTTGACTACTTTCAAATTTTTGCTAATGGCATTGAGATCCTTGAGTACAACTCGGAGGATGCCATCCTCCCACTGGCTTGCAATCTTATTCCTAATGTACCTCTTCTTCGTTATGAGCTCCCCCAGCCCGTCACACAACTCATGGAGGTGAAGTCCCTTCAGCTTTTTAATCTGTGCATTGAAGCTCTCTGACACATTGTTAGTTAGGTAATCACACTTGCTAAGCTTTGAGAAGGCATATCTGTACCAAATCCTAGAATGGTGTTCCTCAAGGTACTGAATTGCATCAGGAGCAAACTCAAAAATTTTCTTCATGTGCCACCTGAACATGCCTTCTGTGTAGCTCCTTGCAGCAGGATACAAATGGTCAGTGAACATATCACCTGAGTAGTGCTTCATGAAGTTTTGGTACAAGTGCCTCATGCACTCCCTGTTCTCAGCATGTGGGAAGACAACTCCCATAGTTTTTTCAAGGCCTTTACAAGCATCTAAACAAATCACCAATCCTAGAGGGTCCCCAACAGCTCTGTGCAAATTCTGCATGAATCACTTCCAGTTATCTTCAGTCTCTGTGTAAAAAACACCATAGGTAATATGGTACAACCAACTATGGCCATCAACCCCAGTAGCTGAAACCAACTGCCCAAGATACCTCCCATTCAAACTAGAAGCATCTAAACCAATAAATGGTCTGCAACCAACTAAGAACCCATCAATGCATGGCTTCAGTGCAACAAATATCATTCTGAACCTTTTCTGATCACCTATTGTCTCTAATTTTATTTCTACAATGCTATCAGAAAAACTTATTTCAACCTGTGCAGCCCAATTGAATAACAGTTGAAAACTTTCCTCATAAGACCCATGAATCTGGTCTAGAGAAACTTGCAAACCTGACCAAGCTTTGGAGTACTTCAACTTAATTCCATAGTCACCCTCCAATTTGTCTTTGGCATCCGTTGGGTCCTTATTTGGATTCTTTTTCACCCAGTCTGCTAGCCTGTCTGCACACCAGCCCTGACTTGCCATCTTTCCTTCTCTAAGCTTGGTGGTAGGATAATTGTGCTGTGCAGGAAGTACTTTTATTTACACAAACATGTCAAACAGGTCATTAGCATGTCAAAAAGGTCACAATTATGTCATAAACAGCAGTAGTTGAACACATTACCTTTATTATTTTTTTTATCAAAAATAGTGGATGCATGTATGCGCCACGGACAACCCTCGACAGCACAATGAGCTAAGAACCTGGTCTTGTCTGTTTTGAGCCCAGCAAACTTAAAACCAGTCTTCACTACATGGTGCCTAATTGCTTTCCTAAATGTAATGATATCAGGAAATAATGCCCCCTTCACTATGTTTGGATTCTCAGGATCATGGAGTACATACACCTCAAGAGGGTCTGCATCATCAACTTCATCATATTCTTCAGGAACTGGCCGTGCATTAGCAGAAGCATTTTCATCAGATGGGTGAGCATCACCATGATCATAAGCATTGTTAACTAGCTGTGCATTAGGAACTGAAATATAGATTTGTTCATCATCAACTCCAACATATTGGCCCCGTTCGCTGGTCTAAAACTTGGCTGAAACTGGTTGGTTTTGTGAGAGAGAAACACTATAGCGGCTGGTTGATGAATAGTATTCTGTGAGGGTGTTCAGCCGACTGGTAAAACCAGCGAACACGCCCATTATTTAGGATTATCAAAGATATCAGGCTCCCTCTCAGGCTCTACATCAACATCATCACCTTGTTCAGGCTCTAAATCAGTATTTGCTTCTAGATTGTTAGCAGCAGCAGTACTGGGTTGAGGAGCCTCTGCTTCTAGATTGTTAGCACCAGCAGCAGCAGTACTGGCTTCAGGCTCTAAATCAGTATCAATGTTGGGTATCTCAAATCTAACCTCAGGAGGAATTGTACATAAAGGCTCTAGGTCATCAAACTCAGCATCATTATCAAACAATTCCACTACAAGCTAACAATCCATCTTTTCCTTGTACATTTCAAAGACATCAACCATCTAAATTTCACTAATTAATCTTACATCCTCATGAAGTCTTTTATCAAAGAACCACACTATGGGTAACTGGTTAGAGGGTACATTCAATTCATTTGCAATACTGGACACCAACAGTTCAAGCGTTAAAGACCCAAACTCCACATCCCACTTAATCACAGTCCCTTTAGTGTATGATTTCTACCATCTGAGTCTTTCGTAGCGAAACCATGGACTTTAACCTCTACCGCGAACATACCATTCCTACCAACAATCAAAACGAGTCCCAAATCCAAGTGTAAATAGGCAAGCACAAGTCAACTACACTATGTGCTCAAACTGATAACAGGGGATGCACATACATTACCTGCTATTGCAGTCCTCTATCTCCGCCGCAGCACTACGGCGCAGATGCAGGAAGACCTTACCACCTGTCGTCTTCATGGGTCCTGCATCTCCTCCGGTGAATGCGCCGGCCACACCGCGGAGCTGCCGTCGCAGCTCCGCAGGTCTCCGGCGGTAGCTACAGTCTAGGGTTAGGGTTCTTACGGAAGGGAAAGGAAGAGGAAGACGGAGAGGAGCACGGGTGGGGGATGGATTGAACGGGAGAGAGGGCGCGGCAGCTTGTAACACACAAGAAGGGCATCGATGTCCATACGGAAGTCACATACGCTTTTCTCGACCTGACAGTGGGCCCGAGCTGTTCACATACGTAGACAATGGCCAGCACCAGCAACACCCAGAATTATAATGGCATGTTTCACAATACACGAATTGTAATGACATTTCTTCAACTTCAAAGAATTGTAATGGCTTCGATAAAAAAAACCAAAAAAGAAAGGAGAGGAGAGGCGGAGCGCGTGGTGGGACGCGCCGACGCGGAGCCCGAGAAGGGGAAGACGAACCACGAAGACGAGCCTGGCGAGTTCGTGCTTCGCAGTCTTCAGACCTGGGACGCGTTTACTAGTTCGGTACCGCGGTCTGGTGTGCGCTGGACCGCTGGTCCGGTTCGGGAAGTGATACGGGCCGAGCAAACTGGCTGGGCCAGACTCTCAGCCCAAGCCCACTCGTAGGGCTCCACGCTGTTGACACTCGAAAATACGTAGCTCAGAACAAAACTGAAAGAAGAGACATGAAGAACTGCTTGAACCAAGAGGAGGATGAAGCCAGACTATTGATTTGAGTTCACCGAGCTCTCAACCAAACGATCGAAATAGACATGGTTGGTCCGATTTAGAGCTCGGATGTGAAAGTTACAATGAAAATTTTAAAGCAGCATCCATGTCAGACATGTAGATGTTCAGATAGGAGGAATGAAACAGCTTAAAATGATGCATTTCTATACTAGGGTCGAGTTACATGCACCGGCTGACTGAAGCACCTCCCCCCAATACTTGAGTGTTTGCAACTTAGGGTGAATTTCTACTGTGTCTTTGGTTTGTTAGATATCTTTGAGCACATGCACATGCAAACAAGCTTACAAAGTAAACATACTACCTGGAAATTCAATTAATGAGCCGAGGCTAATATCCCCTAACTAGGCAGAGTCCATGCAGTATTGTCCAATGGTTGTCACGGACCGAGCTGATTCCAACAGTCGTATGCCCAGTGCCCCACGGTAACGGTAACCGCCAGGCGCCAGGCAGAGAGAGCCCAACGTGACGATTTCTGCCTTTCTGGTAATGAAATGCAGTACAGGAGAACGAGAAGAAGAAGAAAAGGATGCGATAAAAAACGACTCAAAAGTACTCTTATTAGCATCACAAATCCACAGAACGTCAGAACCAAATCGAGCCTCTTATTCAGCTTTATTGAAACACACGGGAGATAGATTCTGCAGTACATCTACCACCACCTGGAACGCTCCGTATGATTAGTATATATCAGTTACACGATAGCGTAGATAAACGCGATGTGAGAATCTCACGGCGTTCGACAAGTGTGCGAGAAACGTAGCAGAAATCGTCTCATGGATTCATCAGATACACAGCTCGGCACCTCGTAGTAGGCAGCCGGGGTAATGGGTACCAAGAAGATGGTGAACAAAGCCAGACGATCAGAACTGGTTGGACCAGTCGGCGGCACTGCCGACGCGGGGGATGCTAGCGTCCTGCTTCTTCTTGCTCTCGCTGTCGACCTTGAAGGTGGAGCCGCACATCTGGCCTTGGCTGTCCACGCGTGGCACCGCCTTGACCTCGTGCAGTGGGTGCTCGAAGCTCTGCAGCCCACCGGAGGTGGTGTAGAAGCAACCTGAGGGGTGGACATGTATGAATTATGGTAAGTAGATGATTGTGCACAAAGGGTGGAAACTGGTGTTCTGTTGTTGTAGTTACCTTTGGGGAATGGTGCGTGCGAGTTGCCGCAGCCTGTCTTGAGGAGCCCAGCATCGTCAGAGAACACAAGGTGGTTCTCGGAGTCGACACCCCAGAAGAAAGGGATGCTACCATCAGCGTCCTGCATTTAAACATGGCATTGCAATTCAAGGCTCAAGCCAGTCAACAAGGTAAGGTTGAGGAAAGAAGTGATGGCTGAATTACAGTCGGTGAACTTACAACAGCAACAAAGGTGGACTTCGACAGGGTGTCATACAGGATGAACGCAAACTTCCCACTGAGGTCTCTCACAACCTGGCTGGCTGGGACCGGACCCCTGTCCCTCAGGGTCCTGTAGGCCTCTATGAGGATAGTCACCTCGTTCGCAGTCTTGCTCAGGCCATAATGCTGCTTCAGGTTGGCAATGTTCTCAATGTGCCCTTGGAACAGGCAGAAGATGTCATTCACAGCACCAAACAACCTGGGCAGGAGAACAAGGCAGAGTCAGCTAAATGTAATTCAGTCACCTGTATGGATATACCAGATAATAAAAGAACTCTCAGGATCAATCATGATTCAAGGCGATGCAAACAGCATGTGAGAGAAGATGGCAACATGCGTTCGGAAGATTGCTTCAGAGGTGCTTGGAGTGACCAAAGGGAGCGGATGCGACTCGAAAGATATTTGGTGGTGGAATGAAAATGTGCAAAAGGCTATTAAGGAAAAGAATGAGTGCTATAAGCGCTTGTATCATGACAGGTGTGCAAACAACATAGAGAAGTACAAGGTGGCAAAGAAGACTACAAAACAAGCGGTGAGTGAGGCAAAAGGGCGGGCCTATGAGAACCTTTACCGACGTTTGAGTACGAAGGAAGGAGACAAGGACATTTATAGGATGGCTAGGGCTCGCGATAAGAAGACAAGAGACTTCAACCAAGTTAAGTGCATAAAGGATGAGAGGAAGCAGCTCTTGATGAAGGAGGATGAGACCAGACATAGATGGCAAGAGTATTTTGATAAATTGCTCAATGGTGAGAACGAGAACACCACCGTTCAGCTGGACGACTCGTTTGATGACATTAACAGACGCTTTGTGCGGAGGATTCAAGAAT